TCAATCCCCTTTAGCAGAATGAAGATGTAAGGAAAGACCTGGATTTAGAGCAACCTAGAACTAAGGAGAAATTTCCTGACAATGAGAACAATTAATTAGTGGAACGACTTGCCTCCAAAAGTTGCAAGTGCTCCTTCACTGGAGGTTTTTAAGAAGAGACAACCATTTGTCTGAAATTGTATAGGGTCTCTTGCTTGAGCAGGGGTGGGAATAGAAGACCTCTGGTGTCTCTCCCAATTCTATTATTCTGTTAGTCTCCCACCTGCTGTGCCAGAGATGCATATATTAACTCTATGTATAAAGTCACAGAAGCTGGAGGTGAGGCTTTTGGTGGATGTGTGCATTTCCATCTATTGTAGGACTAAGAGATGTACACAACAGATTTTCATATTAGTCCCTTAAATAAGAAAATGCTTGCAATCTCATCTCCTATCCCTTGAAATTCTAACAAATTGAGTTGGTTTGAATCAAAATTCAGGAGGACCACCTAGTGGGAATAAAAATTAGTGCAGAAAGAGTTCTCAAAGTAAATTGCATCCAACTCAGCTCCATTGGATGAAATCACAGAAAGTCTAATTGCAGGTTAGCCATTAGGGTGTAAAACGATTAAAGAATTTCCAGTTGAATGAGCATCTTCCTTTAAAAATATGATTCATCCATTAAGGTTAAGCTTTCAATAAAAATACTGCTCATTATTGGAAAAAAAAGGGGAAATGTTTAATGTTTTAGTTCCTTAATTTGGAAATTCAGAATACCTTAGTTCTCATTGCTGCCATTAAATCCATAAAACTTTAGCTGTCAATCCTGTCCATCCAATTACATTGTCAGAAAAAGATGGTTCTCCTGATTTATCCTTTGTATCTCAAGTTGATTAATTTTTTGATCAATTTTATTAAAGTTCTCATTCCTATTAGATTATCAATTATATACAAACAATTCTACAGCAGATTTCTAGATTTGGGGAAATAAAACCACAACAGCAGAGAGGCAGATTTAATATCTGTGTCAGTTTCAATTGTTAATGCAGTAGTTATGGGGCCACCTGATTTAGCATGCAAAAAACAGAATATTTGTACCTCAGGGTTACCTAGTTTGGGTATTAAAATGTCTTCAAGGAAACAACCAACCTCAGCACCAAGGACTCCTTGCAAAATACTGCATAGTTATCTTCTAAATGGAAATAGACTTCTCTAGTTTGTAAACAAGTTCTCAAGCTAGTAGGAACCATCAATTTTTGCTGGAGGATTCTCCTGTTAACCTTTGAGTGTACAAGAATGGAGTCCCCCCCCTCAAATCCCCCTATTTCTAACTACATAAATAGGGTTAGTTCAAACTTAGTTGCACTTGGAATCAATAAAGCAGAAATGGCTTCAACTCATTTTTCACATTGATTTCAATGGAAGATAATTGCAAGCAAGATAGGTTGGACCCAGGGGTGAAATGCTCCCGGTTCAGACCGGATCGCCTGATCTGGTAGTGATAGAGGTGGGTGGTTTGGAGAACCGGTAGCAAAAATCCCTGCCCTCCCCCCATGCCCAGCTGAGCCGCGCAATCATCAGAGGCTTTTTTTTTAGTTTTTAAAAGCATTTTTTCTACAACCTCTTCGGCCAAAAAATGCTTTTAAAAGTAAAAAAAAAAAAGCCTCTGATGATTGTGTGGCTCAGCTGGGATCGTCAAAGGCTTTTAAAAGCATTTTTTTTTACAACCTCTTCGCCAAAGAGGTTGTAGAAAAAACGGTTTTACAAGTAAAAAATAAATAAATAACCACACCCATCCAGTCACATTACCCCCCCACCAAGCCATGCCCACAGAACCGGTACTAACAAATTTTAGATTTCACCACTGGTTGGACCTAATGCACAGTACCTTTGGTGGAGTATGAGATCGTGATCCAGAAAACCACAATCTGACAGGATGAAAAATAGATAGCTCCAGAGAATATTGAACACATTGAACACTGATAATGGCTATTCCATAAAAGGCAACAGTGAGAATACAGAATCAACATAAATCTGAGAGGCCTAGCATGCATGATTCAAGGATTCAAGCCTGAGGGGGCTGCTACCTAAAAAAAAAATTCCTAATATGGTCATTTTGTCTTGGTAAATCAGCAAAGGGGAACTTGTTACCCTAAAATGTTTACTTGCTTATTTATTTTTCATATTTTAACCCTAATATATTTATTTATTTATGACACTTTCTTGCTGGCCATCTCATGATTCAGGAAATTCTGAGAGGCTATATAAAAAAAGTAAAATTAGAAATAAACCCCAGAAGACATGTCATCAAAGGGAACAACAACCAACCACCTTCCTCCACCCACAGACATACCCTGTTTTCCCCAAAATAAGACATCTCCTGATAATAAGCCCAATCGGGCTTTTGAGTGCATGGCAATAAGGCTTATATTGCGCTTATTTCAGGGTTCAAAAAAATATGAGATAGGGTCTTATTTTCGGGGAAACATGGTAGGAAGTAGACAAAAGGCCTCTCAGTTACCCCAATACAGGGCTTGGGGGATAGCTATGTTTTTCATTCTCCTTCAAAGCTTGTTCAGGTGAGCAACATGCAAATTTTCAGAGGGGTGCTGTTAAAAGGGAGCAAGAGCTAAAACCGAGAAGACTCACCTCCTGGGTCTTGCTAGATGACATTGCTCAATTGATGGGACCAGGGGCAAGCCAACTCTGATACATCTGATAGGGCAGGCAGAACCAGGCAGTGACAATCCTTATGCTAGGGTTTATGAAATGTAGGTATTAAAGGTGACAAGCGGCAGCTTGAATTGCACCTGGAAGGTAACTGACAAATTAATGCATTGCATACAATATGGGTGTTACATTGGTATGAGCTATAACTTCCAAGTGTTTTTTTTTTAAAGAGACCTCAGGTAGAATACCTTTCACTAGTCCTGGGATGGCAAACCTATGGCACACGTGCCACAGGTGGCATGTGGAGCCATATTAGTGGGCACGCCAGCTCAGCTCTGGGGCCCATGCGCGCACTGGCCAGTTGATTTTCGGGCCTTCTGGGCCCACCAGAAGTAGGGAAACAGGCTGTTTCCTGCCTCTGGAGGACCTGGGGGGGGGAAGGCCCGTTTTTCTTTCTTACCTGGCTCCAGATCCTCTCTGTGTATCTGGGAAGGGCGAAAACAGCCTTTCCCACTCCCTTGGAGGCCCTACAGAGGCTCAAAGGGCCCATTTCCCCACTCCCGGTGGGACAGGAAGTGACGTTTTTTTCCTGTCCCCAGCCTCCAGAGACTCCTAGAGAGGCTCCTAGAGAGGTTCTGGAGGCTGGGGACAGCAAAAAATTCACTTCCTGTCCCACCGAGAGTTGGGAAATGGGCCCTTTCAGCCTCCGTAGGGCCTCCAAGGGAGTGGGAAAGGCTGTTTTCACCCTTCCCAGATACACAGAGAGGATCTGGAACCAGGTAAGAAAGAAAAACGGGCCTACCAGGCCATCATGTGCCAGGAGCGGGGGGGAGGGGGTTGCGCATGCATGCGCGTGGGCACGTGCGCGTACAACCCTCCCCCGCCCCCCCTCTCCTGGCACGCGATGGCAAAAAGGTTAGCCATCACTGCACTAGTCCATCCATGAGATGACCAGTATATAAGGGTACAGCTGCCATACAACATGGACTTACTTATATGAAGGTTTTCCTGATCACAGGAAAGGGTTCAGCTGGCTTACATCGGCTTACTTATATGAAGGTTTTCCTGATCACAGCTTCTATCAGCTGTTCAAGCAAGAACTGGGAGTCAAGGAGGACTCACATTATGCACCAGGCTTGGACAGGACAGTGGAGGATCTCCAGAATGCTGAGATTCAAACACATACAGCCACTCAACCTTGCCAGGGTTTTGTTTGAGCTTGTTTCTCCCATCCAATCTCTGTGCTCACCGATTTGCCGTTGGCTCAGGAAGATACCATGATCAAAGTATTGAAAAGAAATGAAGAACATCCAGGATGGTTGCACTTTTGCTATCCAGACACTGCCACAGGTCATCAGCAAAAGTAATCAATGCCATCTCCACACTACGCCCCTGGATGAAAACCCCATACCTCACACTAATGGCTTGTGTAGGTAGAAACTCCTAAATTATAATTACATAAATATAATTGAGCAATATATGATGAGTATAATAAGCTATATTTATAAAAGAAAAGTGGTAATTTGGATCATTATGTCACCTCTCTGTTTTACCTGTTTGCCTATAAGCTTAAAAATTGTCTATATTTTCAGTGTTTATCCAAAGAAAAATCTATTAGACTTTTATTACTCTGTTAATATGCCATTCAAATGGGAATTATATTATAAGCAAAATCATTAACTTTAAGACACCTGGCAGATATTGTCTTTTCTCCCTGAAACCTGATTTAGTAGTTTTTTAAAAAAACTGGAAAAAGTGGAAGAACATGAACTCCTATACTTCATGGTTATACTTATAACCATGAAAATGTGACTTTCTATGAAAATACAATATGTAGAAAATTTATCTCTATAAAATTACATTAGTATTACATAAGAGGGAAGCATTTAAGCCATCATTTCATTACCTACTCAGAGTAATACATTAAATTAAATGTATCCCCAAATATAGATTTCTTTATACAACTGCCTCAAATGACAGAGGAAAAATTACCACCAATTTTTCTTTACCAGCCTTTTGTTAAAAAAAATACTTTAATCTTCTAAAATACAATTTTCTATAATTTTAAAAATCCACTTACAATACAGCTGAAGGATAGAGTTACAATTTTAGACCAGCAATTTCAGTTAAAATTATTATAGCAGAGAACTTGGAAAAAACCTTCATAAAACCTTTAAATTAATTTTTTTAATCTCTAAAGATTTCTAATTATCATATACTTAGTATATTGCTATTTTAATGGTAAAATTATGAAAATATTAAATGTATCTGTTGAACCTGCATATTGAATTTAGATTTACTCTCTGTTAAAGAAATTCAGTAAAATCAATAAGTCAACACACAACAAATGTATTCATTATATGATAAATTTTATCCAGTTATTCCTCAAGGACAATAGTCCTGAGAACACAGAACAGATCCAATTATCTCTTTCCTATTAGTTATTTCTGAGATTTTAAAAGAACAACCTCAGAAACTACAAAGAAGACATGGTATGGCTGGACATTGTGCAGGATAAAGAGGAACATTAAAACTTCTGAAGGATTTAATCCACATTGGTCCCACATTATGTCCCAAACATAATGGCAAAAAAATAGTTTATTTTATAAATTATTGGTCAAGAAACTGAATTTCTCAGAATATACAGAATTGGATTTTAGATTGCCTTTTGTAAATTAGATCCAAGTCATCTAAAATTATTTATGACTACGTTCTATGAATATCAGTTGTAGTTAGGTGGCCATTGTATATTAGGAATATCTCCAATATTGCTTTTATAATGGCATTAAAAAAATTAACAAAATCCTTATCCTGAATGAGTTACAATAACAACTGAATTTTTTTCATCAAAATTGTTTGCTCTTTATAATTATGTCTAACCAATAATGTCCCAGAGGTAAATTTACTGGTCACATTAAAATGCAGTATAAATATATACAGTTTCATTTTTTACATTTACATTCTACATTATGTTACAACTTTCTATCTTCTGCCATAAAAAGTGATTGCAATCCTTTGCGAACATTAAGCAATTCTTCTTCATGCTGTGATAAAAAAAATAAACAAATTTATTTTTAAAAATAATTTCCCAAAAACTCTGTTTAAAGTTACATAATGAATACAGAATTGAATAGATAACAATATTTACCATTTCCTTAAGAAATTTATTTTGAATCCCATCAATATCTTCTTTCAAAAAATGTACCTAAAATGCATACAAAAAAATTATTTACTCTGAAGCAAACTTGAATCTATAATTGATAGGAAGGGTAAATCAATGGTTTTACAATGTTTCCAACACACATTCATTCACTACTCTGTAACAAAGTTTCAAGAGTCATAACCACTTTTTTTAAAGGTTCAGAGTTAGCCCTCTTCTTTCATTTCCTTTTTAGTTCCCAAATCCACATTTTCTCTGTTTCCAAAAATTCAAACAGAAATCTTTGAGGGAGATGGTTGGTTCAGAAATGTGATGAACAAAAAAGAAAAAAAAAATCCAAATAAAAGTGGTAATATGCCTCCATGTTTTAAGCGATCCCTATGTTTTTCAATAATTGTTCTGACTTTGCTTGTAAGACTAAATTACTAATTATCTTGTCTACTGATTGTAGGGAAAAAAATGAGAACGGTAATAGACATATAAATTCCTCCAGGGCGGACATTTTACTACAATTCTGTATTGGGAGTGATTCAGAGACCAGAAAAAATCATGGCAGAACTATTTACTGATAGTCAAAGCTGATTCAAAAAAACTATGGTAACTGAACAGAGAAACAGCAGTTAGCACACGCTGTGATTGGGAAATTATGCTCACAGATGCCAACAATATACTTGCTGAATCATATTCCACCTGTGGGACTACCCTAAATACTATATATAATTAAGCACAGGTTGAAAGCAGGTGAGTACCACTAGTTATGAGGCAGGAAAACAGGAAAGGTTTTATTTTTTATGTTCCAGAATATTGAAGGAAGGGAGGGAGGGGAGGCTGCATTGACTCATTGTTTCACAAGGAAAATTTAATATTCATACTAGGTTTGCAACATAAACACTAATAATTGGTACAAGCAGTAGAACATTCACACCATATTAACTTTTTTGGGTAGTAGCTAGTTCAATTTGCAGAATTTTTTTTGTATATTGAAAGTAGGTGTTAAAAACAGTATGTTTAGAAGAGAAGTGTATTTTAAATGAACTGTATTTTGACCAGCATAAACATAACCTTGCTTATTCAAGTTAATTTCTTCCTTGTTTTATCAATGAAACCCTAAGTACTTTATTTTGTGCTAGTTAATGATAAGGACCTTCCTGCTCTGATCCCAATTAGATCATTATTTCCCTCTTTTGCCTTAACCCAGGGCTATCAAACTCCCGGCCTGCGGGCCAGATGTGTCACACACTGGCCACGTCCATGCCTGGTTTAGTGAGGGGGAAAATTCCTGATACGCCATGTGGCGCCATCATGATAACGTGAGTTTGACACCCTTGCCTTAACCAGTTGTCTGCTAGATATTTTACAAAGTAGGTAATCCTCACTAATATATAACCTTCCCTTGCTGGTGCCTTAAATATGCACCTGATTTATTCTGAAGGCAGGAAGAGGGGAAGGCTAGTCAACTTTCCCCAAAAAATCAGCCCATTGTTGCTAGATTTGCTATGGCTGACCTTTCTTGCTATTCCCCATGTCTACAAGAACTGATTGGGAAAAGAACTTTCCTATGTAAATATACAGAAGTTTAATGTAATATAAATGTTTGCTGATTTTGTTCATTCTGACTTCTGAACTGAACTGAATTATGATCACCTCAGCCAGCCACAAGGAGAAATACATACCTGAGATAGAAAAATATTTTCCTCTTGATCAGCAGTATGGTAAATGTTCTTCTCAAATGAAGTTCTAAGATTCTGAAGTCTAAGAAGGCATAGATCAAACCAATATTTGAGTTATTTGCTTTGACATAGAGAAAAATATTTATAATTAAAAATACTTGTTTTCATTTTATTCTAGTTAAACTTATAGTCACAAGAATGCAGCCCTTCTGGATCAAGGCCAGCTGCTTTAGCAATCTGTTATTACTGTGAGCGAAATAAATGCTCAGAGGAATGGGAGCACATTAGCAAAATAGAAACCTGGAAGGAATGTGTGTGTTATATTGTGAATCAATGTCAATAAGTGAGCTGAAATTCTAGGATTATGAAAAATTTTCTTAAATAAAAAAGATAACTACTGGGACTACCATGGCTGTCTAATGCCATAATTTATCAACTTTGATTTTCAGATATTATTATTACATTTTAAGCCTCCTAAGGAATGTACATTAATGGTTTTTAAAAGTATAATTATAACAACTATAACTACACTGAGAATGTCTGTCAGGTTTCCAAGTAATAAAACCCATTCAAAAAAGAAATAGGCAAAGTCAATTTTCCAAAACAAATTTCTTTTTGTTTAGGTAGGCATCAAATTGGGAAAGACTGTTGTAATTCCGGATCTGACACAAACCACATAATATTGAAAATTAGAAACATCCCACAAAAGTCACATTCCCCAATAAAAGCAAAATCAACATTGCTGATCTCATCAAACTCCACTTTCAGTTCTCAGCAGGGACAGCCTCTGTTGCAGAGGTGGGTTTCAGCAGCTTCTGACCAGTTCTGGAGAACCGGTAGCAAAAATTGTGAGTAGTTCGGAAAACCGGTACATACTACCTCTGACTGGCCCTGCCCCCATCTATTCTCTGCCTCCCAAGTCACAGCTGATCAGGAGGAAATGGGGATTTTGCAGTATCCTTCCCCTGGAGTGGGGAGGGAATAGAGATTTTACAGTATCCTTCCCCTAGAGTGGGGAGGGAATGGAGATTTTACAGTATCCTTCCCCTGCCACGCCCACCAAGCCACACCCACACAACCTGTAGTAAAATTTTTGAAACCCACCATAGCTCCGTTCCCAAGGGAAAGAAGATCACCTAGGCAAAACAATGATCACTATCTATTCCCTCCTCCCACCCTAAGAATGTGGCGAGCCCGAAAAACCCCCATTACAAAACAGAAAAAAAGAGAAGGAATAAATGAATATAATATGAAGCTAACTAAAATGGCTACGCAAATGCCAATTTCAGGTTCGACAATGTCTTTGTTGTACTATAATAAAAAGGAAATATACTAACCTCTGCTGCTCATTTTTGTTGTAAGTGCTAAATGTTTCAAAATGCTTCTTTGAAAAATTCTAAAAACAGCCAACGTGAAATACAAATTTGAATTTCATTAGTCTTTGATCATAAACCAAAATATAACTTTACTGCAAGCTGTAATATAATGTTACTTTTACCAACTGTGATGATTTCATGCTCTATTTTAATTATTTGCTTACAAGAATTTCTGCTTAGGCCCATAAATTTTCAGACAGCATAATGAAGTCAGGATGGATTGCCATTTTTATTGAGCAGCTCAGACTTGGTAAAATGTGTGGTGAAGTAAGAGATATAGTGAATCATGATCATATTCAATCTCAAAGGATGATGTCATTCTTTTAAAAAAAAAACTTCCTGACTCCAGTCTTGGAAATTTTAATCCAGATATTCATACTGACGCTTTTGAGTTGCACCAAATAAAAAATGGGCCAGTGTTGATAGTACTAGCAGTTACAAGTTAGTACTGCCGCTGGAAAGCATTTTGTCTCTTTCCTATTTAGAAGTGGGTCAGTTCCAAGCAGTGGTTGGGGAAACAAAGCTATGGAGCAATTTACTACTGCTGGAATGCTTTAGTACAATTAGTTGCAAAATTTTGTTTTATAGTCTGTGACATCAAAGCTAGCCTTAGAAGGTGGCTAGTATGTTTTCCTTTTTTGTACCAATTTAAATAATATATTTTTAAATATTTAATATTTTTAAAAAGACATTAATTAAAATACAATGTTCAAGTAATTTAATATTTTTGTAAAAGAAAATAACATACTGAAAAATCTTTCTCAATATTTCTCAATATTTGTGAATCTCTTTCAAAACTTTCAAGTTCTTTCAGGAGGCAGGAATGAAGATTTTCCAGCTGTCTGGATCTAGAAAAATATAAGCAAAAGTTAAATATACAACATATATAATAATAACATGAAACTCTGGGAATTCATTCTATACAAACCTGTGCTTATGTAATTCTCTTCCCATTGTATTTATATGCTGGTGAGTTGTTTTCATTGACTGTTTTGCAAAACAGTCAATTTTCTTTGATCGGCTCTAAAGATACAAAGGTTACATGATTATTACTTTCAAACTGAGTATGGATTGAAATAAAAAAAGTAGTTTTAAAAAATTATGAAATCATACCGGTATCATGTCCATGTAACCTAAAAGTCGCAAATCTTCAATCATCCTGATTTTTTTCCGGATATACCATGTTTGTCTGAAATGGGTTTCCTGCCTAAGCGGGGGGCTGGACTTGAAGACCTCCAAGATCCCTTCCAACTCTGTTCTATTCTATTCTATTCTATTCTATTCTATTCTATTCTATTCTATTCTATTCTATTCTATTCTACTCAATTCAAAAAAAGAGAGGGGGGAGAGAGGGAGAGAGAATACATACATGGCAGTAATCATTTTAAAGAGAGTATAGAAAAATAAACCCGAAAACATCTAGTAAAATAAAAACTACTGCTTTTTTTATATTCTTGCTATAGAAACGTCTGTGAGCAAAAATAATAAATTCCAATTTCCGTAATATTCTGAATAGACATGGAAATATGACCTTACAATGAGATTATAAAGAGTAACTTTTATAAAAGAGAATGAATGCTTGTTACACACACACATATGCATGCACAAGCATGCATATTCATCGTTTCCAGCATATTTGAGACAAAGACAGTATACACTAAATATATACCTCCAAGAAAGATATAAATATTCACCTGTATTTTCCTAGCATATTCCTTATGAAGCGTCTGACAAATCATCTCTACATTTGAACAGTCTGCATCCCAGCCTTCCCCATCAAAAACAGATGTCTCATTGATAGAAAAAGTAGATAAGCTTTCAGATACTGAAAAAAAAAATATTTTAAAATTTAGATGTTGTTTATTCAACTGAATTATGCTTTTAGTACTAATGTGCCCTACAAGTCTTAACACATCTTCTTTAAAGAATATTAATAATCAATGGCTTAAACAATTTTCTCCTAAGTATTGGGAGGAAAAGAACAGAAAAGCAGGAGGTCACTGCCTCTTTGGACCATTTTAGCAGGTTACCAGAGGGCTTTATTCTCTGAACAAAAAAATAATTACAGTCTCCTATAAAGAGAGTCAATACTAATATACAGAGGTCATACTATTTTTGAACTGCAAGTTGACAAAAATAAATTCATGTAAAACCATTACTGATGATTCCCTTATTCAAAGTAACTTCTTGCTATTATTTTTATTTTGAGACAACAGATAAAAAAATTAAATTTTCTATTAAACTGCAAAATTATCCTTTATGGGGTATCTGCAAAAAAAATACTCAAGTAGTCTGAAGATTATTGACTCTAGCAAATTTAAAATAAAATCAGAAGAGCTTGTAGACTGGTAGCATGGTCTTCTCAAATGGAAAAGTAACATAAAGTGACAGAAAGTGATGTAAATTAACAGGTTTATTATATGCCATATGTCTTCTGTCATTTCTTACTCCAATGATTTCTACAGCTCAATTTAAGCATCAGCTCACCTCTATAAGTGCTATCATCTGCTTTGAATAGCTTTCTAGGGAGAAGCTTTATTTTCCTTTCCTCCCTCCTGATTTCTTCTTCATCTGAATAATTTTCTGTATCTTCCTGATAGAGTCGTTTGAAATTAGGATGTATTATAGGTCCTTTAATAAGATTATATTTAAACACGTTACAAACAACACTAACAGTGCTGTTATGCACAGTTCAGACATCCTGAAGAGGATGTCTCCAAATAATGTGCAAACATGTCAGGAAAACTGCCACTGAATTTTTTAAAAATCTTCTTAGTAATGAAAAGTCCACTAGAAACTATAAATGGCAATACAAGAAGAGGTATTTGGGAAGGGAGGTGAATGGGCAATATTATGAAAAGAAACAGTCTTCATGCAGTGATTAGCAATAATGAGTTAAAGAAAATTGGGGTGGGGAGAACTTCTATTTTATTCATTTATTTACTAATCAGATTTATATAATGTCCATCTCACTTTCTAAATAACTCTGAGCAGTTTACAATTTTAGTAAAAGAGACTGTATTAAAGTAACTAGCCTGCACATGGCCCGAAATATAGAGATATTCATTCTCTGTATAGTTAAATTGTGGAATATCTGTATTTATAATTGTTTATGAAACTATACCAGATTCATGCACATTGGTAAGACATTCTTCATGCTCTAATTCTTCTCTGCTTCTGCAAGGTGTGGTTAATTGAGATGGAGGTAAAGAAGCCTAAAAATAAAGATATATTAACCAACCTAAATATTTGTAAGAGGATCAATTTATAAATTGAGCTAATACCAATTCAAACCTTTCTTTTAAAACAATATTAATAAAGGCATATAAAAAGTATTATCAAAAAGAACAGGGCTAATTTAATATTAATTTTCTGGAGTGCTGTTAACAAAGATATACAGTCCAACTAAAATTTAAACAATATATTATTAATAGTAGAAAATCAAACATGGATATGTTATTTCCAATATATTTTTAAAGAATCCTGCTGATATTCTAGTTTATGTATAACCAGGGCTTACATTACTGAATTATGGTCTGTGATTCTAGAGAAGTTATAAGCAATTTAAAAATGATAAACCTACTGAAGATGGTACAAAATTGTTAAACCATGACTATTAAGTATATACTGTACCTTCATCTTTAGTAATCACTTCAGTGATTACTGAAGAAGACTTCAGGAGAACCCCCAAAAATACATCTATGATTCTTTAGGGAAAATGTAACCTTGCTTAAAATTGAACTATATCTCCAACACCCAGATCATTCCAGGGTTTAAGCATTCACCTGTTTGCCTTCAACCATCCAATACTTCTCTCCTGATATCAATTAAAATTTTCAAAGTTTCTCTGGGATATGGTGAAGGAAAACAAATAGAGCAGTTCATCATGTACTTACTAATATCACTGCAGCCCAAACCTACAGATCTGAAAGGTTAAAAACTATGAAATTTTGAAATACAGAGTGGAAGAATGTTCTGCAGAACCAAAAGGCATGTTCCTAAACTCTAGCATTTCTCTAATGCTTATTCCATTCTTTGTTTTATCACACAATTCTGTTCTTCCTGAACTCATTGCTTCTCGCTTATTGCTCTACTGAGTTGGCATATCTGAAGTTGGCATATCTGAAGCATTTTCTTTTGCAAAAATATTTGTAGCAAAATGAACCCATTACACAATCTTGATTGTTTTCCTGAACAAATGTTCTGTTTCCCAGCATGCAGTGCTTGATTAATTGTGTCTGTCCTACACTACTGAAAATATCTTGAACATTGGATATGGACACATGTATATTTCCACACAAGTGTGAATATGGACATAGAAATTTGGTAATATCTACTGAATATCTACTGAAAATTCCTTGTACGAAGTGCAGAAATCAAGGAAATGAGCAACTGTTAAATGGATATCCAAGATATGGCATTACTATTATTACCCTGTACATCAAAGTGAGGTTCAAAGTATATCCCATACCTTGAAAAAACTCATCTGAAAGAGACTTTTTCTCTTTCATAATTTAGATTCTTCTTATATACATTTATACATCTATAAGATTTTATTCTAAACGGGGTTCTTAATAATTTGACATTTGTAAAAATATGCTTTTACATTTCAAAGATAAAGTGCAAATCATTCTTTTTATGTAAAACGAAGCAATATATAAAAGGCAAGTAGGATGCTTTTCTTTATAAAAAAAAACAATTCTGGATCATTTAAACTGAACTTATGTTAGTAACAACAACAGAATTATATTAGATAAAACCAATTTATCAAAAAAGATCAAGATTATCTTGACAATATTATACCTTTCTTCTACTGTTCATGATATTTTCAGATATATCTTCTATTTCTGTATGAAGTGATTTATTTAAAAGGCCACTTGTAATGCTCACTGCTTCATCAGTGTCACAGATTTTGTCCTTAGCGATTTCTGAATTGTTATAATTGATAAATGGTTTTTTCCTACTGAAGGGGCTAATGTTGGACTACAATAAAAACATAGTTAATAGTAGTGAGTACACAACCATATAAATTTAATAATATTCTCCAATTTAAGAAACAACAGAAATGTTTAAGGTTGCAATCCTATTCATTATTTTCAGCGTATAAAGTCTTACTGAAAGAATACATTGCAAGCCTGAAATTCTAAATACATTCATTCTGCAATTAAGCTTATGATTGTTCTGTAAAAACTTTGTAGAAATATGAACTCCCAGTATGATTAATTGCACATTGCAATTTCAATATTCTTAATTATCACCATCCAAATTATCTGTGAAGAACAGAAGCAGAAATGAAAATGTAGGCTCTTCTACATTGATTCTAAATTCATTTAAACTTTTAGCAAAGATAAAAAGTAATCTTAGTGCCTTTATTCTTAATTCCAAGGGAAGTTCAGATGGCTTCTGCACTCTCTTCTTTTAAAAATTAGCTGAAAACATTCACATTTACTTGACATTTGTAGAATAACAACTGTTCCAGGATCTGAGCGGGGTAGGAACCCCCCCCCCATTACTTGCAAAAAAAATTATATTTTATCCAAAATAAACTTCTGGATTGTATTTATTCTTTATAAACAGTGTTCAATTTATTGAGTTGGTTTTTATATGAAGATATTTTGTAATTCTTCTCTTTATTTATGTGGTTTGTATACCACCTCAAATTGGCCAAATTCTAGGAGGACCCCTCTGTACCATTTTGGGTTTATAGTATCAGTGCAGAAGTTTGGAAGTTTTAAATTAATATTTAAATTAATATTAATATTAAATTAATAAATTAAATTAAACTCACGGAGTGGAAAACTCATTTTAAAATAGTTTGTAAATATTTACCAAAGAAAGCGGACTTATCACAGGTGAGAGATCTTCAGCTTCAAATACCAGTTTTCTTCCCTTTTCAGGAAGATCCTTCAATAGTTCACTCTCTGAATTAATTTTTCCCATTGTAAAATCTTCTTTAATATTCTCTAAGGATTTCTCCTTTTCAGGTGTTAATTCTTCAAGATAGGACGATAAGGACGACCTTCTCACTGATATGTGCTCTTCAGCAGATTCTTCTGTATGTTTCTCATAACCTTAATAAATTCCACAAACAGATTTCAAAACATTGGCTATATGTTGTTGCAACATTAAATCAACCTTAACTATATGAGAGCCTCAGATGTGTATTCTCCTCTCTGGCACAGCTCAAATCAGAAGCTTCTGCTTTAGATGAGTCATTGAAATCCCTTTTTTGTTTGTTTGTTAAAATAGCTAATTTCATGAACTGAAGGTTGAAACAGATGATTAAACCAGAAGAAACTGATTGGATCCATTTCTGACCTACCCAACGCCTTTTTTAAAATTTAAGATGTATCACAATCGATCCTCCAGCTTTAAAAATCACCCCATGTTAAATAAATCATACCAAATTACAACTAATCTAAAACAGAAGTGAAACTGCAAATTTCTGCTGGAAAGGGAGCAAACAGACATAAACACAAATTGCTGTATTCCCTGAAACATGAGCAATTCAAATATGGAAACAACATCTGAAAAATAAAACGATAAAGTTGCCTTGTATTGTACAGTACATTAGTCCCTGAAGCTCAGTACTCTGAAAACAAAAAACCTTCCTACTTTCCAATACATTTTTCATGAGAAATGCTGTGCTACTGAGCTTTAGTTCTCTACAATAATGTTACAATGCACAGTACATTACAGTATTTTTAGGAACTAATTCCCAGAGATTTTTTTTTCTACGGGCTATGATCTATCTGAGAAAATACAATAAAAATTCCTTTTGTACAATTCCTTTTGTCGGGGTAGAGTCGGGGTGACTGGATGGAACTAGGCATTTACTGGCCAGATGCCCTTCCTGATGCCTATGTGGAGTTCGCAGGTTTTCTTATGCCTGCACTTGGGAATCACAAGTGCAGGCATTTTTCTTTTTAAAAAAGAAAACTGTGATTTGCATTAAAAAAGGATACTATTTTAGTTATAGTTTTGGGTCAGGCCTGTTGGATGTTAATATACAGTATATACAGATAATTTAAGTAGTGGTTAACTATAGCTTTATGGTTAATTGTAAATATACCTGATTGCATGAGCAGGCTAGGCTCTTCCCTGCAACTACAGACATTGCCAACTAGAGTGATAAGGCATATTTATAGCTAACTGTAAGTCCAGACGTCTGAACATAGTGGTGGAAAAATATTATTGCAAAATTGCTGGAGCTTATTGAGCTGACCTGATATACTTTATAGTTATCAAAAATTGTTAACTGGTGAAAAATCTCAAGTACATAAATTTAAGTTAAGACTGTCCTACTATAGTTAAACATAACAACAAAACATAAATCTTACATCTCATTATCTCAGAGAAAGGTGGACTCCCAGATGAAGGAGATGATGGTAATTCCATTTGTTTTTTTATCATGTCATCTTTTGCTTTAGTAGATCTTTTGGACTGATTTATCAATTTTCCTCTGACTGTCTCACTGGCAATTGTATGTTGTTGTATCTTGGATTGATTAACAGCTCTAGATTTTGCTGTGATTTTATGCTCTGGCTAGAGATACAAAAACCTATCAGACATAGTTTCACTGCACACTAATTAAACTGTGCATTTTAGAAAGAAACAAAACAGTATTTTATGTTATTTTAAAAAAAAATCTAGTTTCTCTTAAACAAAATGGTTTCAGACAAATGATTATCTATTCTTCAAATCCTCCAGTGTTGGAACATCACAACTTCTGGAGGCAAGTCATTCCACTGACTAATTGTTCTCACTGTCAAGAAATTTCTCCTAGCTGGTTCTTTCCTTGATTAGTTTCCATCCATTGCTTCTTATCCATTCACTAGTTTCCATCCATTGCTTACGAGCCATGGTGGCACAGTGGTTAGAGTGCAATACTGCAGGCTACTCCTGCTGATTGCCTGCAATTTGGCAGTTCATATCTCACCAGGCTCAAGGTGAGATATGAACTGCCTTCCATCTTTCCAAGGTGCGTAAAATGTGGACACAAATTGTTGGGGGCAATACGCTGACTCTGTAAACTGCTTAGAGAGGGCTGTAAAGTACTGCAAATTGGTATATAAGTCTAAGTGCTAGTGCTACTCATTTTTTCTTCAGCTTACTTTCCTCCTTGGATGCTTGTAAGTCTTGTGTTTTCATTAGTCTTTTAAGTACTAAAATGACTCATAAGCATTTGTTGACCTATCTTACCGAGTAAGTTTTTTTTCTTCTTCAAATCATTATTTGTGATTTGTCTCATAGTTGTTGATAAAATCAAAACATGAGTCTGTTGGTTTAGTGAATTTTCTTAGTTTTATAATATCAAATGAGCTCCTCTCTCCTTTCTTTCGACTAGAAGACTTCCAAGGTCCCTCCCAATTCTGTTATTCTGTATTCTTTCCTTCACCTCATTCAATTTTGCTTCCCACCCTATTCCCTTATCATGGCAGTTACCCTTTCTTCATATTTCATCTCCACTCTGGTTTGTCTTTTCTATGCCAGCTCCAACTCCTGTATAACTCTCACCCATGCTTTATGTTTGGAATAATAATGGAGCCCATGATCTACATCCAGAATAACATAGTCATGACTTGCTGCCCGTGAAACATCAGCAGCAGTACAGCAAGGATACATATAGTCCTTGACTTACAATCAGTCATTTAGAGACCATTCAAAGTTACAATGAACTCCCCACCCTCCCCAATGTACTTACGACTTAGAACTAGCTAGGACTAGCACTGATGATGTTACTTAGTTTGGGTAATGAAACGTTTGCAAGGAAAACAAGCAAGCTCAGAGAGCACTAAGGACCCCTCACTTATGACCTGGTTGTGAAGTTCTGATAGTTGCGCCCCTTGTAGTCACATGACCACATTTTGGGTCCTCGGCAACCAGCCTGTTTTTGCAGCATCCCGTGTCACCTGACCATGATTTTTGCTGAAAGCTAGTGCTTATTTCCTTGGGGTTGTTTGTTTTTTTTTTAGCAAAAATGCCTCATAGCAAACAATGGGTTTGCTTAATGATTGTGGGGTTTGCTAAAACGACTATGAATTCACTTAATGATCATAGCGATTTGCTTAAGGACTGCTGCAAAAAAAAAAAAAAAAAGTAGTAAAATTGGGTTGGACACATGATGACTTGCTTAGGAGCATTTTGACTTATGACCATAATGAGCAAATCATAGGTCAAGGACTACCTGTACTACAGGAGTCCTTGCAGTGATGGATTTTTCACTTAATTGGTGGATTTTTTTCCCTCATTGCAGGAATTGAAAACAGCCCACACCATTTTATGATTACAAGTCTCCTCCCAGGAAATCACAAAATTGCTCCTTTTAATAATTAAGGACAGAGAATGCCTTATATTTTCCAAGAATGCCTTATGCTGCTTAAGTTGAATTCATATAAAGATTTTGGGTTTTGATAACATTTTAAATAACACTATAATTGAACTTATTAAAACCAGCTGAGATAATGGTTTTGTAAAACCTTATATTATTTTAAAAACTATTTAAAATTTATTTTCTTTGAATCACAGCGTATACTGTTATTCCTCTTTGTTAAATACCATTCCATTCTTTTGAAAATCAAATTCTAGGTAAAACAGAAGCAAAAATAATGATGCCCTAAAATACAAATTCCAGGAACATATACTTTTAGTAAAGGTACAATAAAATACAAAGCTTACATGTTCATTTGAGGTGTTCTTCTCATTCAAATATTCAGAAATTTCCTCTTCACTCTCTATCTCTGAACTTGAGAGTTCTTTGTAACATTTTTTGGCTAGTGCTGCTTTTCTGAGTTTTTTTGATCTAGTCTGTAGTGTTCTTTCCCCATCACCGTTATCATTCTGATTTTTAGAAATAGGTACTTTAAAAAATACTTTGCACACTGTGTTAATATTAAAGTTACATCTTTTTTTAATTGTTCAGCATGTCTTTTACATTTACAATGTAAAATTCAGTACAGAGATTGACTTCAGAGACTGTATGTTAACCATCCCTGTCTGGTGCTGTCTGGTGACATAATACTGCTATTTATTATATCTCAACTAGACAAGCTAGGAGGAGAATGGGAACACCTATAGAGGCTGGTAGTTCAGAAAAGGCCAAGTTAAATACATTTGATGATCACAGCTTGTTGGGAAATTTCAATGTCTTAATTCACCACAAGAAATGGCAAACTGGTCAAAAAGGGATTGCTAATTAGGTACAGGTAGTCCTCAGGTTACAACAATTCATTTAGGGACTGTTCAAAGTTACAACAGTGCTGAAAAAGGTGTCTGTTTTTCACATTTATAACCATTGCAGCATCCCTATGGTCACATTCAGACACTTGGCAACATATTTATGACAGTATCCTGGGGTCACACGATCACTTTTTGCACCCTTCAAATGCACAAAGTCAATGGAAAAGCCAGAGTCATTTATCTGTTACTAACGTAACAACTGCAGTAATTTGCTTAACAACTGAGACAAGAAAGATCGTAAAATGGAGCAAAACTTAACAAATATTTTCTCTTAACAACATAAATTTTGGGCTCAATTGAGGTCGTAAGTGGAGAACTACCTGTATAACCTCATAAGAAATATAATCATCCCTACCAGCTTAATAGAATAAGCTTCAAAATATTAATTTACCACATTAGAAAACAAAGGACAATCCGTCAAGACAAGAATAGCGGAGTAGAAAGACTGAATAAAAACTGCTAAGATTGGCTTATTCCATTCCAATCTGCTGAGCAGATTAAACAGTCTTTCTTAAAAAACAATCTGATCATTTAACTCTTTCTGTGTGGAAAAAAACGTTTCAATGCTTGTAAACAAGAACAATTGAAAAGAGTTACCTTATTACTTCTGCTTTTTGGGGGTGGAGATATTTCCCTCATCCCTGGTGATATAGAGAATTTATCTAAAAATTCAACATTAATGATAAAACAAGCCCAAGGTTAATTATATCCTACTACCATGATCAAAACAATTATCATTCAATTTTCACTGCTTCTGATCATCTCAATAAAGAAATTATCAAGGCATTTTAAACAGAGTTTAGAATTACACAATCAATCCACAATTACACAAAGATGGTTGAAGAATAATGGGTGTAACTGGATGGCCACTAGCATAAGACATTACTGGTATTTACTGCCAGTATTTAGTCTTTTTTTAAGATGTGGTGGCTGCCAAGAGCTGCTGTTGAAAGATATGAATTGAAAGAATGAATAAATAAGTAAATAAAGTAAACAAAAGTAAATAAAATAAAATGAATTAAAAATAGATTTGAAGGACCACTTCTACCCAGTTATATCTACTCAGCCCACCACAACAGGAAGGCAGGGTATGATTCAGGTTCCATCTGGGGAGAAAGCAGTATTATGTATGGTCACCCTTGAGGTACTTATAAAGTAATAGAATACAAATATAACAATAAATTAAGGGAATACACCTGATGGGACATAGAAGGTCCTTCTCTGTAGTGACTCCTTCCCTTTGGAATATCATTTCCTCAGAAATAAGAGTGGCCCCCTTTTTGTTACTTTTCTGGAAGTCACTGCCAAGGGGAGGGGGGCCTGGGGTTTTTAGTCTTAATTTATAATGTTGTATACCATGTGGTGTCACTGGGTGTGAGTTAGACAGCCATATACATCTATTTAGTATTTATTTTGTTTCTTTATTATCTATGTATTCGATTTGCATGCCGCCAATCTTGCCTAGAGGTGACTCTGGGCCAAATAAATAAACCCTTTATTAAAAGTTATCTCAGACTGAGGTCTACCTTCATCTTCTTTAAGATACAAGACTCTCCAGAAATTATTAGATGGTATCTAATATGGGGTCAAGATATGAGATGGGGTAGGAGTGGTGAATGGTAGAAGATACACCTAGAAAAACGTCAAGCAATTCTGTACAGCAGCCTAAGATTATTGTCTCCTGTTTTGCTCTTAAACTAACTTCAGAAATTCCAGTCCAGATTGCAGTGATTTGACAACAGGGTGAAGTAGTACTCAATCTGGACTATAGCCAGTACTCAGTACTTAGCTGCTCGCTTCCCTGCTCGTCTTTCAAATATGTGCAAAACTTTTTCCTGCCGCTCAGATAAAAAAACTGCAGAAATGTTGAATATAAATGCTGAATAGTAAAAGTGAGGCCATGCCACACTTTCTGTATTTTCCTAGGGTAGGGAGTTTGAAATATTTTCTTATTTAAAATAAATCAAAGCTTAATGAGGGGCTTAATGAGGGGCGGTTTCATTTTGTTTGAATGTGTGTTCTTCCTGTGGCAAAAAGGAGGCCAGGCATTTTTGGTGACTGTGGTTGGAGGAGAAAGCTGGAAGCTGCAAAAAGTTGCTCAAGGCCAACATGCAATCTTGGAACGTCAAATTTCTAACTGTGCCTTCAGGACAGGCGCTGGAGCTGGAGAAAATATTTTATGTATATGTGAAATATTTAAATATTTTCTCAATGACATCAAACTAGTTATTTGTTGGTAAATAAAATAACAAGGGAAGCAAAAATCAAGGGACACAAAAATACAGTTAAAATAAAATGTTTTAATGTTTTCTTATTGGAATGTAGTGTGCTAGAATGTAATTTAAGTATGCAAAGTATGCTATACTAAGAAGCAAAGGTGTATCCTCACTATATGAGTAGAGATGTTTTGGACATATTCAGTACATACATATCTCTAGTTCTGTGTATTTGCACGAATAGTGAAAGAACAAAAAACAAAGCAGAAAAAGTTTGCAAAAGGATTAGGAAGTATAGAAGGTTCTTTTTAAAATGCAATTTGAAAAATAAGCTATATTTTAAAAGTACTTTTATGCTTTTCGGGAAAATGAAGCATGTATTCTGATTAGAAACGACAAGAAAAAATAGAATATCCAATTCCAGAAATGAATCAGAGCTGCTTTATGCACAATAAATTGAAAATCTGAGAGACAGCAAAAAGAAACTTGCATTTTTCTCTGTATGTATAATACAAATAAATAATTTAAGGCCAATCCTCATTGTGAATATCACTAAACTCAGGAGAGCTTACTTTTGAATATGTATTTAGCAGGCAAATATAAAGCTGTTCTATTTCGTTTAAGTCCAACAATTTCTAGGTCTATTTTTTTTATTAAAAATCCAACTAGAAATGGATAATTGTAGGGAGATAACAATGTTTGACCTATACCAAAAGCTAACATTATCAATTGTGTATGAGTGTGTTGTGTAAGGATGAACATTAGTTAGATTGTATTCTGCCTAGCAAACCTCCTGCTTGGAAACTTGAGGGAGCATTCCTACCAAGATTCTGGAATTCATTTAAATACCAATATTTGAACTGACCCCAAGAGAAATGCATTTTAATTACAGAAAAATAATCTGATTTTTAGGCTTTGTAATAAATAAACATCTTGCCTGGTTTCAGAGTTTTGGACTTCCTTGGTATTCTGGCTCTGCCGTAATTTACGAGCTGAGGTTTAGGCTTTCTATTGGATTCCCTTAACCAGCTAATATCTGTGTTGGTATCATCACCTCTATATTCAGTGTCTGTGTCACTAAAAAGATGCTTGTAGTTTCTATTTGTCCTGCCCTGTGGAACAAAAAAAAAAAAATCATTTTTTTTAAAAAAAATAAGGTTTTTTTGGATTTTAAAAGAACTTTTATACTTTTATAGAACTGCAAAACACTTGTTCTGATTAGATATGGTCAAAAAAAACAAAAAAAACAAAACACCACCAGGCCATTTTATCTACTAGTATATTTTAGAAGCAATTACTGTTTAATTGACTGGTCTGTTAAAATATTGTAATATTGTAACCTATCCTATACCATGCATATAAATGAAAATCTAGATATTAATCTGCTTTTTAATTAAATTAAAATTCAAGCTGATGCATTTTCTCAAATGTCAAAGATACAAGTTCTTCAAAGACTTAAATCTTCATTAGCATATTCTACTTGGAAACCGGTACAATCCTGTAAAAACCAGTATTAAATTTATGTAAATTAATTATAATTGAGATCTTACTAAACACGATTTGTCTAGTTGCTATCAAGGAGATTTAACACAACACATCCCCGATATATAGTATTTTATGAACAAAAAATTTAAAAGGTAGTAAAAGAAAAATCTTGAGATTTTATTTTGCAGTTTCACATTGTAAAATTGTGGTATTTCCTCTTCCCATTCCAACTTCTCTATAGCTGTCCATCTTGCAACAGCAACATATAATATAGCATTAAAAACACAATCCAACCTAGCAATCATACTAAATATACATAATAGCAGCTAAGGGGAACTATTACTATAAATAAACATCCTTGTGAGGGCAAAGGTTTATTCTCCGAGTTTGTGGGTTGGTTTCCGAATGTTTCGTTACCAGGCTAGGTAACATTTTCAACGGAGTTTAGGGGATGTCAGTGTCAGTGTTCTGTTTATAAGGGCTTCAGATGTGGGTGTGTCAAGTGAGGGTCGTCTGATGAACCATCTGTGAGTCATCTGAGTCTTGTGATGAGTCTTGTGATTGTTCTGTCCCCGTCTCCACACACACACACACACACACACACACAGCCAGCCGAGGGTTAAAGGAAGCACTTGGCACGCACAGTTAGTTTATCAGAAACTTGGCAGCAATACGAGCACCGACTGCCAAGTGCTTTTACTTCAATAAACGGAATATCCCTTCACCAGATAAACAGAAATACACACAGTTTGTAAATGTCCAGTTCAAAACAAGAAACCTTCGGCAGATTTAAGTGTTGTTCAAAGTGACTAGCCAGAGTTAGTTTTTATCCGTCACAGAGTCTTAAATGGCCACCACACACTCTTATACAGTCGCTGGGGTGTGGTCCAGTGACTCAGCCTAATCCCTGGCACGCCTCCTCAACTGCTGCAACCGTTTATCACGCCTTCGTTGGCGTGGATCCAGGAACGACAGATCGCCTCCATCGCTCTCATCGGAGACACCTGGCTCCTGGCTAATCTCCTCTTCCTCGGCCGGCACTTGAGGCAGAGCCAGAGGGGAGGAGTCTGGAGAGGGAGGCCTGGTCAACTCCTCTTCTTCATGTTCGGAGCCTTCTTCCTCCGATGAGATAGGCTCGGAGGGCGGGGCCACAACAGTGATCACCGGAAACCAACCCACAAGCTCAGAGAACAAACCTTTACTTTCATCATACACCTGAGCTATAAATATTGCAAACATCCTAGTATTTACAAAATACGACTTTTACTACAACTATGTTCCTTTTAAAAAATACCTTCTTTTCCTGCTTTTTTTGGGTTATACTTGTTGTTTCATTTTTCTGAGTCCTAAAACAAATAAAAACATTCTTATTGTAGTAATTAGAATGGAAATAAACAGTTTATTTGGGTTGTGTTTTTACTTGCATATGTGGAAAACAACCACTTTCCACAGCTAGAATATTTAGAATATTGCCATTATCTAATTTTATTATAATAGCTCTTATTTACCCGTTTTTCTGCTGATAGAAAGTATACTTACATTTTCTTTGGGAGTACACCAGTAGTTTCCAAATTAATAAGATGTAATTCCTGGACCTAAATAAATAGCACAGTTCCATTTGTAGCTGATTTTTCTGCCTATTTGTAAATGTTTGTCAAGTAAACAAATCATTCTTCCTATTTTTTCAATGAAAATTATATACATTTTTATGATTGTATATCTGTAATTTTTATAAAGATTTTACAAAAGATTATTGGTACTTATTTAAAATGACCTCAATTTCACATATTGGTTTAAAGTCTTTATTTTCTTTACAAATACCATTTGTTTTTATTGCTTTATGAGCATGACAATACATAAGGTTTTAATATTGATTACCATTTCAAAATAAATGTATCTTAGTGTGTCAGTATTTTCTAATGGTGGGATACAAGAAACAATAGAATGCAAGGATCAGCAGTTATTACAAGCAGTCCTCAACTTATGACCACAACTGGGGCCAGAATTTCTGTTGCTAAGCTGAATTATAGATAATTTTTTGCTGTGGTTGTTAAGTGAATCACTGCAGTTGTTAAGCGAATCCAGCTTCCCCCATTGAGTTTGTTTGTTGGGAAGCTGGCTGAGAAGGTCACAAATGGCGATTTTGTGACTCCAGGATGTTGCAACCGTTGTAAATATAGGCAGGTTGTCAAGTGCCTGAATTTTGATCCTATGACGGTGGGGATGGTGTGAGAGTCTTAACCCTAAGGAGACCAGTTGTAAGTCACTTTTTTCAGTGCCATTGTAACTTTGAACAGTTACTAAATGAATAATAGTAAATTAAGGAGTATCTGTACAGAAGATCTAGCCCAATTTCCCTGCTCAGTGCTTCAGCATTCTTAAATGGCTATCTAGCCCTATGTTTTTCAACCTTGGTAAGATGTGTCGACTTTGCTAGCTGGGGAATTCTGGGTGTTGGAAGTCCACACATCTTAAAGTTATCAAGGTTGAAAAACACTTATCTATCCTCTCCAGTAAAGTTGAGTCCATTGAATATTGATTTGCAAATCTCTAGGCTTGTGTTCTTAGCTTGCATACAACAATGTGAACATGCTCAAGTAAAACTGGACTTGGCTAAGCTTGTGATAACACTGACCAAAATGCACCAAAACTAACCAGAAATATCCTATTAATATGGAAAACTACATATGATATAGAGATGACTAATTCTAATAACTTTGTCTATTCTTTCCTTCTTTTATTAAAAAATACCAGTAGTATATAGTTGGGTAGCTACAGCAGAGTACAATTTTAACATAAGCCAAGAGAAGGGTGAAACTGCTATAGAATCAAACTATATTTTGGAATGAATTAATAAGAAGCATAAATTCCAAATAATACGTTGCTAACTATAAGTATTGACATATTAATATGCTATAATTTTCTTACTCCAAGCTTTATTGTAGGTTCATCAAATCCACTTTGATTAAAGTCATAGACATCATCCCTATCAAAGGAGATAAAACTTTGTTTAGTTTTCTTTTCATCTCATCTCTCAAATGGCTAGATTTGTATTAGATTACTGTTTACTTACACAGATTGTTCATTAGTATTGTTGTGTAGTGTAGTTCTGAAATTTCCAGTCCTTCTATTCTGTCTTTTTTTCTAGGCATAAAAAAGTTATTACACAAGAGATGTATAACGCGTCAATGCTACCCCTTTTTCTGATGTTTTTTTTCCCAATTTGGTTAAATAAAACTTTTAGATCACTCAGCCAAACAATAAAGGGCAAAGGGAGCAGTTAAATCCATTCATGTTCATAATCAGTACATCTCCTCTTTGATGTTTTCCTAATGCTTAATTTTAAAACAAAAACATTCTTTTAGCAGCTTTTCTGTAAGATCTAACACCTTTACTTATTTAGCAACATCAACTAACAGATTATGGTAAGTGCAAAGCAATTAGTGGTGGTGTTTTGGTTTTTTTTTGTTGATGTTTTTTCTTGCACATAAGAATGATTCCCGACATTTAAAAAAAAAAGTCAATGATCTCCAAGTCTCCCATGGCAAAGTTCTGTTTTGGCACTTATTGAGCTGTGAGGAGTCTTCTTATGTCTAGTCATGGATTCAGCTCCTGCTTTCCTCCCAGCTCCGCTCTTATCCCATTCAGTCTAAGTTGGTGATGGTGAACCTATGACATGCATATCACTTGTGCATGGCATGTCATTTTTGATGATAGGCCAGACCTTCGACACTCTGAAAGTCCTGTGAAGGAGCCCTGCCAGGAGGGCCCTCTGAAAGGCCTCTGGAGTCATGCAAAAGCATGTGAGATCAGGGCATACTTTCCTGCTCTTTTCAGAAATTGCAAGGCCACACAAAAGCATTCTCTGAAGTTTGCAGACCTTGTGTGACCTGGAACTATCTCCAAATGACATTTTGGAAAAAAAAATACGATTATGCAGGTTTTTCATTTATTTAATAATAAATTTAAATAATTTAATGTAATATAATTTATTACTCTTTATTATGAATTGTTTGGTGTGTGTGTGTCTGTATGAGAGAGAGAAAGAGAGAGAGAGAGAGAGAGACATGCCAGCAAAGTCAAGTTAAGCAATTTCTGAATTTCTGAGTAGCCCAGTAATAAAACATTAAAGGGCAGCCTAGACTGGTATTTTCCAACTTTGGGAACTTTAAAATGTGTGGACTTCAACTCCCAGAATTCTCCAGTCAGCATTCACCAACCAAAATTCTGAGAGTTGAATCCATATATTGTAAAGATGCCAAGGTTGAGAAACACTGGCCTAGACATGATGATCAGTTCAATTACAAAACTTGAAAAAATGCCACCATAAATGTCACTCTTGAAACAAAACCATTTATTTGGTTCAGAGTTCAAACATATTTAATCTATCATGCCTAAAAATAAATAACTAAAACCATTTTCAGACAAATCTGTAAAGGAAAAAAAATACCTTATCATCACTATCAGTTTTATTTAATGATGTGCTGTAAGAAAAATGGATGGAATACAGATCAATACCAAGCTAGAAGTCTTCATTTAGAAATCAAGTTGTATTTAAATAGCAAACTTAAGTAATAGGATAGAATAGAATAGAATTTTTTATTAGCTAAGTGTGATTGGACACACAAGGAATTTGTCTTGGTAATATAATTAAATGATGAAATACATTCCTTGAAAAGGTTTCGAGAACAGCCAGGTTAGCCTGCTGCGTAAAAAAAATAAGAAAAAGTTGTAGGCACATATTATGGCATAAATGAACTTTTATAGACTATGAAATGGTAAACTGTAGTGTATATTTGGAGATGCTTTGGTTTGGTCAACTTTAGCTCTCCAATGGCTCTAATACAAGGGTGTCAAACTTGATTTCATTGAGGGCCATATCAGGGTTGTGTTTGACCTCAGGGGGCTAGGGTGGGCGTGGCCAGCTTGACGTCACTTCGTGTCGGGGGCACCTGTATTGGTCTGAGCGCTCTGCCAGCAAAAATGGGCTCCTGAGTTCCGTTTTCGGCTGCTAAGGCCTCCTGCAACCCTCCTCTGCCAATGAAAACGGAGCTTGGGAGGGCCGCACACGGGAGGCCGTAACAGCCGAAAACAGAGCTTGGGAGCCCATTTTCACTGGCAGAAGCACTGCGGGCCAGTCCTTCGCTGTTTCCAGGGCAGCCCCATGGACCAGATCTAAGTACCCCGCCGTCAGATCCGGCCCCCGGGCCTTGAGTTTGACACCCCTGCTCTAGTACTTCAGTACCAACTTCAGGCTGTCACTCATGCCCTTGTCACCTCACGGTTAGATTATTGCAACGCGCTCTACATGGGGCTACCCTTGAAAAGTGTTCGGAGACTGCAGCTGGTCCAGAACGCAGCCGCACGAGCTGTTGTGGGTGCACCTAGATACACTCACATTACACCAATTCTCCGCAAGCTGCACTGGCTCCCTATTGGCCTCCGGTCACAATTCAAGGTGTTGGTTATTACCTTTAAAGCCCTACATGGCTCAGGGCCAGGTTATCTTCGAGACCGCCTTCTACCGTATAGCTCCCAGCGACTGGTAAGATCCCACAGAGTTGGTTTCCTCCGGATCCCGTCAGCTAAACAATGCCGGCTGGAGGGCCCGTGGGGGAGGGCCTTCTCTGTGGCTGCCCCAGCTCTCTGGAACCAGTTACCTTCTGAGGTCCGGACCATCCCCACCCTACTGGCCTTCCAAAAAGCTGTGAAGACCTGGCTTTTCCAGCAGGCCTGGGGCCGTTGATCTCACTTTGTGATCTGGTGAGATCTGGCCATGAATGGTGTGAATGTGTTCTAAGGTTTTTAATGTTTTTTAATCTTTTAAATGTTTTTAGAATGGTTTTTTTAAAATGTATTGTGAGCCGCCCTGAGTCTCCGGAGAGGGGCGGCATATAAATTTAATAAATAAAATAAAATAATAGAGCAAAGAGCCCTCACAGCTTTTCAACTCAGGCACCAATTCAGGTGCTTTTACTAGGTTCCAGCTTTTTTTTTTTAACCAGGTGCCACTGGGGAAAAGAAATCTGTAAACTAATACAGACAGCCCTCAACTTACAACCATGATTTGAACTGGAACTTCCTCTACTAAGTAACGCAGTTGTTAAGTGAGTCATGCCCAATTTAATAACCATTTTGTGACCAGTTGTCAAGCAAATCCAGCTTCCCCTACTGACTTTGCTTGTCGAAAGCCCTGTGGGAAGATCACAAATTACGATCATGTGACCCAGGATGCTGCAACTGTTATGAATGCCTGCCAAGAACCCCAATTTGATCATGTAACCACAGGGATGCTGCAATAGTTGGTAGTGCAAGGACCAGTCATAAGTCACTATTTTCAGTACAGTATTGCACAGTATTGCCATAAGCAATTTTCTAATAGATGTTTTCTACTAGATGTTAATGGTAGTAAAGATGTCGTGATCATTTATTTTTATAAAATTAATTCCATTTTGCATTTGATTACTTTCAGTGTATTTTATTAGGATTTTATTTTATTAGGATTTTATTAGGATTTTATTTTATTTTATTTTATTTATTTTATTAGATTTATATACTGCCCTACTCCCGAAGGACTCAGGGCGGTGAACAGCCAAAAAGATAAAACACACAGATTATAAAATTTAAAACAGTATAAAAACGTATTAAACAATTTGGCCCGAGATGAATTAAAACACCCCCATATTTAAAAACAGATTTAAAATTACTCATATACTATTTAAAAGGGAAAGTTAGGCCAGGCCAGCCTGTTGGAATAAAAAGGTCTTGAGGGCGCGGCGGAAGGTGCGTAAATCCGGGATCCTCCGTATCTCCGGGGGAGCTCATTCCAGATAACTGGTGCCCCCACAGAGAAAGCTCTCCCCCTGGGGGCCGCTAGCCGACACTGTTTGGCTGACGGCACCCTGAGGAGCCCCTCTGTGAGAGCGTACTGGCCGGTGAGAGGCTATTGGTGGCAGCAGGAGGTCCTGTAAGTATCCAGGTCCTAGGCCATGGAGTGCTCTAAAGGTGGTAACCAAAACCTGCGCAGCTCGTGCAGGAGAGGTGTTACATGGGAACGCCACCTCGTTCCCATAACCACCCGCGCGGCTGCACTTTGCACCAGTTGGAGCCTCAAGGGGAGCCCCATGTCGAGAGCATTGCAGTAGTCCAGGCAGGAAGTGACAAGGGCATGAGTGACCGTGCGTAAGGAGTCCTGATCCAGAAAGGGACGTAACTGGCGAATCAGGCGGACCTGACGAAATTTTCAGGCAACAGAGAGTAAAACAGCTCCAAATTTTTAAATTTCAAAATATGATAATTAACATTTGTTTTTAAAAATGTGACGTTATTCATAAACTGAAATATAACCTTATAACTGTATTACTCTTATGTAAAAGAATCACCTAATCTGTAAAATGGGTGGCATGTAAATTTAATAAAATAAATAAATAAATAAATAAATATAATGTAACTAATAACACACAAAAAATGAAAGACTGGGAAAAAATTACAGAATCACTAAAATTTTGTTCTGTTTCATGATAATATTAGAAAAATTTTAAAGAGATAAAAGATAAACTTAGGAAAATGTAGAAAACTACATTAAAACTAAAAAAAAGATAAAAATAGATCTATTGCAAAACTATTTACTTTTTAACATGTAGTATCTATCTACATTTCAGTTACATAAAAAGAATATATATATATATATATACAATACCTCCTATCAGAAAACGACTGGCACAATTTTGCTGTATTTTTTATACCATCCTTTTCTTTATATCTTTTGCTGATTTTACTTATTAACATTTCTGCTGCTTCAATCACATCTTTTGATTTTGTTTTCTGAAAAAAAGAAGGAAAAAATTCAATACCGTGGTGTCCTTAATGTTATCTGTTCTTGGTTGTTTGCTAATTAGGGTTACCAAATGTATCAATTATATGAGAAATAGTTAATAAATTAAAAGCAATCACTATTTTGATTTACTATACAACTAGAAAAGCAATGCTGAGGTTGTTTACCTTCTCATAATTTATTTGATCAGTTTTCTTACTAGCAGTCTCTTTTGCAGGAGGTGATATATTCAATCTAATATCATGATCATTCATTTCAGAGGTTGATTTAGAGTGCCTTGAAGTTATTAGAGAACTATTATTCTTTTTAGTAGCAGGAAGTGATATTTCCGATGCATTGGAAACACTCTTTCTGCTTTTACTTTTTGGTATTTTCTCATCCAAATGCTTAAAATTGGTTTGTGAATCTGGTATTTTATTGGTTTTGCTGTGTTGCTCCTCTATGAGTTTGCCACTGCAATGCTGTTTTTTTCTTATCTCGGAAGAAGTCATTTCAAATATTGAAGCAAAAGCTCTTTGCTTAGCAGCTCTGTCACTTAGATTAGCAGCTAATAGAAAATAAAAACAAGAGTTTAAAATTAAGTAAAGTGTTATAAACTACCATACGTATTCAAAAGGAAGTCAACCCAGAATTTCATGTTTTTCCAGACACAAATATTACAGAGTTTGTCAACTTAGGGCTGCCAACTCCAGGTAAAACCATTTCTAGGGGATTTCCCCCATATATATATATATATATGGGGAAATATATATATGGGGAAATCCCTAGAAATGGTTTTTCCTGGAGTAAAACCATTATATATATATATTGGTTTGAAGCCACATTCTTAAAAGGATAAATTAATAAATATTAGTTGAATTAATAACTGTTGCTTAAAATTAATTGCCTGTAAAAAAGGCATCCAATCTTAGAAATTAGTTGATCCTCTATCTGTACACCACTGTGTCCCTCATTCATAGGTCATACTTCCTGTTTTCAGAGGGAGGAGGAAGGGGGGGAGGAGATCCTGAGATCTATCCTAAGCGAGGGGTGAAATTTAGCAGGTTCTGACAGGTTCTGTAGAACCAATAGCTGAAATTTTGAGTAGTTTGGAGAACCGGCAAATACCACCTGTGGCTGGCCCGAGTGGGGTGGGAATAGAGATTTTGCAATATCCTTCCCTTGGAGTGGGGTGGGAATGGAGATTTTGCAGTATCCTTCCCCTGCCATGCCCACCAAGCCACGCCCACAGAACTGGTAGTAAGAAAAAATTGAATTGCACCACTGTCCTAAGCTATGGGTGCATGCAAACCATTCACTTCCTCTGAACCCAACCTACCTCACAGGTATGTTAAGGAGGGAAAATAGGTCTTGTCCCACACTTAGATATTAAGTACACATCAAATAAAAATAGTAAAGAGGAAAACAGGATGCGGGTGGGATGAGGGGAAGGACAAGAAAGCTAAAGTGGAGAACAGAACTAGATGGAGAAATGGAGAGGAGGCAAGGAAAAGAGATAAATGGGTCATAATGGGTAAGAGGGAGAAAAGAGAGAAATTCTTCTCTTATTAAATCATGCTGGTGGTTTCTGAAAGTTTGGATAGAGATTAAACATTCCCAGACTGACTGTGGAGGAGAGGGGATGATCTTCTTTGCTTAAGTGTTGACTTTTTACTTTTTTATATTAAGGGCCTAAAGTATTTGTCCTCTACATGAGGTTGCGTCTCAGCAATAAGGCAGGAGAAATGGAGTGGGAGAAATACGGACGATCATGAACACAATAGATTGGACAATCATATTAGAGTCCTAACTGACAATGAGTCAAAAATGGCTATCCCTTTCAAGAGTTATCTGCTTTTTTTCATGTATCTGCTTCTTTTCTATTAGAACATAACCATCAGATACACAAACATACATATAGAAAGATACATACACACACACACACACACACACAAACACACAAACAGTTAAAGTTAACTATTCTCTTTCTAAATTCTTTATTTGGATAATTGTGGAAAAAACTAATATAACTTTGATATAAAGACTTAACCTTGATATACTATACTTTCTGATGCAGTAATCTTCTGACATTGAGTTATTATTGTTTCAGGTATCCAGCACTTTGTTTTTTTCTGAGTTTTAATTTCAGCAACAAAATTGTTTGAAAGGCCAGGCAATCTAAAAAAAAAAAAAAAGCACACATATTTTAGCAACTTTTTAATATGTTTATAATTTATGTGATTATTTCAAATATAAAATGCATTCTGTTTAAAAATTAGTCAAATTGTGCAACTACTTGCAGCATTTGGATGCCCATACAAAGGGGTGGGGGAGTTAATTACAGTTTCCCCAATGTTTACTGCAATGCTAATTCACATTTCTGATATTCACTTTTCTGCTTTTTTTTTCAATCAAAATTGTAACCATTCTGAATACCAAGCTACTGTTTATCTTCTATCTGCATTCAAATTACTGACAAATCAGTTCAATACTGATCTGTATACAATGTTGCCTTTCCGCATTTTGTAAATATTCTAAAACTCAACCTTCCTTACAACCATCCTAATAGTATGCTATCAAGAGTAATGGTTTTTTCTAAATCAATAGACAAACGAATAGAGATACACCTGTAGAAGACACCTGAACTCGCTGCATATTTTTGGAGAAAAGAAAGCTTAGAATGTTTTTGTTTCTTTACTTTGAAGTATGTGAATAAAGGCGCTAGTATTGCAGGCTTGAAGTGGAGATAGTTGGTACAGATTGGCTTGTATTTTTGGTGTTCAACTTTTATCAGCTTGAGCTGAGCAGATTGGCTGAAGATGCTGTCTGCAAAATCATGGCATCCAGGGATGAACCATGTCAAGCAAACTTTCCTTTGCATCAGTGCATGGTGGAAAAACAGTCATAGCAACAAGAATTGCTTACTTATGGAGGAGACCCACCATACAATCAAGCACTTTCCTGAATGCTAGCAGAGTTGATACTAATCTGACTCAGTGGACTCATTTTGGCAAAGGAAAGGGGTAGCAACAGAAAAGGCAGGCTTTCATGGTCCCTGATGACAACAAAACCCTTCCTGATAAGGGTTTATTGGATAGGCAAAAACTGCTGTAATAAATTGGCTGTGCAAGTTTCCACGTTCGAAACCTGGGGTTCAGAGTTCAATCATCTTTAAGTCATAATTATATATTAATGTCTCTAAAACAAGATATAAAGAAGTAATGATAAAAGAGTTGGCACACGCTATTTTCTAGTCCTATACAGGAACAACTACAAAGCTGAAAACCCCTCCTTTCTAATGTCCATGTATACTTGTTGAGAAATCAGAACTAAGATAAAAGATAACTTAGTTGTATTCCTGAAGTATATATGTAGAAAATTTCTACTAACATGAAATTAGAGCAGAATGTGTTGTTCAAACTAGGCATATTAACATATATATTTCTTATCTATAATTATTTGTAGTACTTACAATGATTTGTCACTTTTGAATATTGGTGGCTGGGAGTCAGGAACAATATCACTTAACTCATCTATGTAAAACATATATATTAAATTAGACATGAAAGGCAATCCTAAGATTTTCTACAACACGAAAACTATTTTAAAGGATGTCTATTGAAATATGTTGAACAATTTACCTAATTTTTGCTTTCCATTAATATGTAGTTCTTCTTCACTGTGGATCATATTTTTCCTTTTTTCAGCTGGAATTTGCTACATGTATACATAATAAATCACAAACATTAAGATGCATATTTATTTATATGATTTTCTACACCAATTAGTTAAGTACAGGATACAAAAAACATATCCCTGATTAAAAGGGAATTTAATATTTTCTAATATTTCATATATATCTGTGGTACCCTTGTTATAAAATTATTTTTCCAAGCAACTTCGACATCCTCTTATGTGTACTTTCCAACTAATCTGTTGGAAGATTAAGCTGTCCTCTATTTTTTTCCCAAATAAAGTTTGTTCTTTCTCTTCTTGCAATTATTCTATTTCACTTTTGTTTCTTTCACTTCTTCTCTTTTTTAATGATTATTTTTTCCTGAGATCCACTTTATCAAATTGGATTATTATCATAAATATTGTACTTCAAATACAGAATTTTTCAACTGCCTTGTATACTTCATTAACTCTCAATTTAAAAAAAACAAAACAACTTACTATTTGGGGGAATGTGTAGCTTTTAACCAAACTTTGGAGGTTAAAAAATATTCATGTAGTTTTCAGATTTAAATTTGTTGTACAAATCTAAAGTAGTTACCTTCTCAACAGAATTATTCCTATTAAGAGCCTTGGTTGCAGAAAGTAGAGGTGCACAATTATCTTCTCGGCCAGCCTTCATAGCCCTTGTCTCAGGTACTGAGAAAACTTCATTTCTTTCCACTAAGCCCATCATCTGAAGAGGGGTTCTAATCTTCCCTTTTCGTGGAGTTGCTGGGAAGGAACCCATAGTTCATTTCTTTTAATGTAATTTGTACTGCTTTGTGCCATTTCCACGAAAATTACAGTAAATGAATTTGCTGTTTCGTGGAAAAGAATTGCGCAAGGCATCCTTCAGATTTACAGTGGATTAACCGATATTCATCACCCTGAGATCCTGCCTCTTAAGAACCCATACAAGATTCTGATAAACCAAATACTACATGTCAGTGGAAGTTAAGATGGGTTAAGTTAAGATACTGCACCCAACAGAGGAAGGTTATAAAACAGTCTGGATGTAAACAAAATGCACTCTGTGTTTGCATTAAAACATAGTGTGTTGCACTTCTCCAGAATCTATCATTGCTAGTAAATTGGGCATTATCATAGGAAAAACCCAGAGTAAAATTGTGTCCACAGAACTTGATTTCTACAAATCCTGCTTGACTGTGATTTTCTTGTGTCTCTTGATGACTGTGTGACATTTAGAAACTTCCTTGCCAGCTCCTTTATCTGGTGTAAGGCAATAAATGAATCCATATTCCCTTTATCTGGTGTAAGGCAATAAATGAATCCATATTGGAATAGCTGGGAAGTTTTCACAACCTTCAGTGCTTATCCAGACTTCTGCCTCCATAGCACACAGGAGGAAATATTCCCTTTTAGGGATTATGGAACTCATACTATTTCCATGAAGACTCAATTCTCTATTTCTTTATCAGAACCACCACAAACTAATCTCCTGTTACATATAACAATTTTGTCAAATCTAGGGCTGGAGAAGGAAAACAGTAAAATGATTCATCTCAGCCTATCAGGTAAGTGTTTATGAGCTATTTTGTTTCCACTGAATAATGGAAACATAATCCATCAACTCACTAGGCCTTAAATGATACTACTTAAGATACTCATGCTAATAGCTCTATGTACAGGGAATCGTAGAGTAAAAAAATAATAATTACAAAATTTGAAGTGATTTTATGAGGTCAACTTGACCAACCCACAAACTCACTAAGCATCATTTCTAGAGGCTAATGATAGCTATTGACCCATGATGATAGAGGAACATTTTCTAAAAATAATAAAATACATTAACAACATACTGGATTAAGGCACAATACAATATGTCATTTAACTTACAAGTACTAATTGAAGGAAATGGACTCTGCACAGAAAACCTGGAAGTGGATGACACAATCATTGATGCCTCAGACATTTTCCTTTTACCAGGGGTGGCCTTGAAATAAAATGAGAAGTATAATTTAACCCAGCATTCAAACATTTAATCAAATATTGCAAAACAAGAATTCTTCTTTTCTATTTGAAAGCTTAAACTACCTTGGATTGACCTGTTTGGAAGTCCATCTCAATTGTTTTTTTACTTAGATTTATCTCTGCCTGAGGATATTGATGTTGAAAGGAGAAACTATTTTCTTCTTCTTGTAATTTACATTCTTTTTCTTTCAAAGGTGATATCTGACTTTCCGGTATAAGAACCTAGTAATTTCAAATATTAAAAAATCCCATTATTATTATGCTTTCAAATAAGACTAAACTCCAGCAAACAATGAGGATATTTATATTATAAGATAGGTGGGCTTTTCTAGATCTTTTGAAAGCTTAGCCCTGATCCATAACATTTTACTAACTAGTGATTCCTTTACTCTGGTTATTCAATGCAATACATTCCTTCCCCACCTCCCCCAATGGTACTGATAATTGTCTGAATTATTTTAGATCAGAAAACTATGGGGTGACTGGTCAACTGTTTGATTTATTGACCAGTAGATGGCAGCAAAGAGAGAGGAAGGGGGGGTAAGTGGGCTATATAAACCTCCCATCAGCTTGCATGGTACCGCCTCTCCTTTTATTCTAAAAAAGCTGCAAATGCTGTATGTTCACTTTTAAACAAAATTCCCCATTAATTTTATACGATATTAGTATAATAATGCTTAGGAGTATTATGGTTTAGAGTAATCATCCTGTAATTTCCAATTGTTAAAAATTAACTTCACTATTCTAACAGAGAGATCCTACATATTGGGATCCAATTGTTTGCTGAATGGGGTGGGATTAATTTTCTAAATTAATGGGAGGTTTTTATGAAAGGCACGTTGACAAAAAATAATGAAATCTACTGTATACTATCTGTAGCTTCAAAATTTGCATTCCATATGTATTGCCCAGATTAAACACATGTATTGAAATATTTATCATCATAACTGAAATATTTACCTGTGATCCACTTTCATCAAAAACTACATGTACCGTTGTTTTTGCAACTGACCCAGTATTTTTCCTTGGAAAACTCTGAAGCAATATATAGGCAAAAAAGGAAAGCATTACATAAAAAGCTCACATTCTTTCTAGCTTAGTTTACTTTTATTTGTATGTCATATTATGATAAAAATGTGATTAATTCGTTTTGTTGCTTTCTCTTTCACCTGAGAAACAAATCCTCCAGACTGCAAATATTTACAAAATATTTTTTTCAATTCTTTCATTTTCATCTTACTTGAAAGTAACACTGTAAATTCAGTTTTTTTTAAAAAACAACAACAACTAGATGTGAACAGTGTATGTGTGCACGTACACATGCATGCACACCTTTAAGTCAGTATCGACTCTTGTCAACTACCTGGACAAATCCCTATTATTATTTTTTTTTAAAGAGTTCAGAAGTGAAATCTTAGATCATCTAGCTGGCCTTGTGCCTAAGGCAAGACCAAAACTCACAATCTCCCAGTTTCTAGTCTAATGCCTTAAGAAGAACACCAAACTGGCTCTCTAGATGAGAAGAATTTATCACATTATTTGATATGGTAATTCAAAACCCAGGAATATTATAGAATTTATTGATTTTAAAAATGTGAACAAATGTGTATCAGATTCTTTCTTTATTTTATGGTTGTTATTATTATTCAGGCAATAACTGCTGGAATTATGCTATCTTCAACTGCCAGATACAGACAAGCACAACAAACTACAAATATAATAGTAAACAGAGGTTAGTAATTTTTATTCCTCAAGAGAAAAAGAAAATGATATTACCTGACATTTTGTTGCATCATAAACTTTTCTTACTGCATCCGTAATTTCCAATGCAGAATCAAAATGCAAGATTATTTTCCCACCTTCCTGGGCACCAACAGACATTGGGTTGTTTAGATGTACCATTAACAATTTCTCTTTTTCTTTTTCTACACAGAAATGAAACATATCAGATTAACAGAATAACAGAGTTGGAAGGGACCTTGCAGGTCTTCTAGTCCTACCCCCTGTTTAGGCAGGAAACCGTACACCACTTCAGACAAATGTTTATCTAATCTCTTAAAAACTTCCAGTGTTGGAGCATTTACAACTTCTGGAGGCAAGTTGTTCCACTGATTAATTGTTCTAACTGTCAGGAAATTCCTCCTTAGTTCTAAATTGCTTCTCTCCTTGATTGCTTCTTGTCCTGCCTTCAGGTGCGTTGGAGAATAGCTTGACTGCCTCTTCTTTGTGGCAACCCCTGTGGTAACATATTCTTTAGTATTAAATAATTGCTTATTTGGAAGTAACGTATTTCCTTTGCAAACATTACAAAAACACACCAATAAAATAGTAAAAGTTTTTCTGAACTAGAAATAGCCATTTTAAATATACTTATCCTTAACATTCTGAAAATAAGAAATATATTAAAACCTCAAGTACCTTCGATTATGTAGGTCTTAACATCTTCTTCTGGTATGCACACAGTTTCCCACTGTTGACCCTAGAAGTTAAATTTATGAAAAAAGTAAGGAAGTGCAATATTGTTTAGAGTTATAGATTACAGCTGAAGATTTGGTGAAATATTTCCAAAATATAGTTCTTCAGGATGCTAACTGTTTGTCAGCAGTTTGTGTTAATGATATTAACTTTTGTCTCTGGTACACGTTTTCTTTCCCAACAGATCAAAACAAGAATGTGGATTTGATAATAACTTTACCAAAGGAAATTTTAGGTAAACATAGGATATATTTTTTATGTACACATAATCTTACATTTTAAAATAACAACAGTTATGAAACTGTTCTTCACCCTTCTTTTGTGTTCCCAGACAATATGGAACTTAGATGAGTAGACAGTTGCTTTTGAAAAGGAACAAATGTTTTGCCTGTGAATCAAGGGCTTTTTTGTGTTATGAGCAGTAAGTATTAAGATGGAATTAAACAGCTAAGTAGATTAATCACAATGGCAGTATGTGAGATCAAATTAAGTCGTCACGAGTAAGTGCTCTGGCATGCCAATAGAGTGAAAAAAAGATTTCCAAATCCGACATGTAGCACTTAAGATCAGGGGAAAAGAACTCTTTTGGAGACTATCTAGATCCCATTGTCAGCAATATGGACTCTGTGGTTTAGGAGGACTTTAATAACACCAGCCAAACTAAATAGAAAACACTTCCAGAGGAATCAAGAAACCATTAGAATGTATTTGCCTGAAAAATTTATTCTAATTTCCATTCCATCCTTACAAATTGGGAACGCTGCTTAAATATTTAGTCTCAGCAGCCAATTATCTCCTCATGACGCTCTGCTAAGTATTAGATCAGTCATTTAAGTTTGTCCTGCCCAACCCTGAAAATCAAATCCTAAAAATGTTATCAGTGGTTACCACAACTTGAACAAAATAGAATAGGTTCATCATACACATAAAAGTCCCACTGGATCACCCATCCAGGAATCAACAATAAAACTTAGATTATAGATGTCATGCTGGTAAAATGATTGCTGGATAATGGAATGCCTAAGCAACAGCAATGGAAAGGGACTGATCTTCATCAGGAAGAGGGGGAGCATATATGTATAATGTATTATAAAGCTTAATAATTATTTAATTTGAAAGAAAGTATGCATCTGCAAAAAAACACTGAGAAATGGGTTGATATTCTTTACCATGTATACTTTAAAAACCATGATTTTTTTATGTTTTAAAGATGATCATATGAAAACTGATGAGATGCAGCATAGGAAGGAAGGAAGGAAGGAAGGAAGGAAGGAAGGAAGGAAGGAAGGAAAGAAGGAAGGAAGGAAGGAAGGAAGGAAGGAGCTTTTTTAACATTTGACTTTCACAATAAATTATTCTGTTTCTGATAAGTTGGATTCAATAAAGAAAATTTAACCTACTTCATCATCTGCAGCAACATAGAAGGATATACTTTTACTACCAACGTTAAAGTCAATCCAACATTCTTCAAGGTTTTCATCTGCTGGCATCTGTAGCTATAATAGAATCAGATTTTTAAAAAGAACCATTATAAACTTTTTATAACATTTTGCAATGTTCTCATCTTAATAATTATGGGTTATCATGCTGAGGGTAAGTTGATGACAGTGTATTCACTCTTCTTGTGGAACAGCTTCAGTGCTTTATTTTAGTATTTAAACTTCAGTTTTATGTTTGAAAATAGGAGCTGTGATTTAATATTGGTTTCAAACTCTAGTTAAAGCACAAGGCCAGAACATAAAGCATAAAGCAAATGCACAAGGGGACAGGACTTAAAAGGAGGTGAGAAAGGATATGGAGTTAATCGCCATTCTCAGTTTAGCTAAGTAGCTAATTTCTATCCTAAAATAGCTTATGTCTGAACAGGCTCTCTATGCTGTGCTAGTTCTGATATTAGTTTAACAAATATTCTGTTCCCATTTCTAAATCAAAACTCTTTGAATTATTACCAGTCAAATGCAAAATTCCCAAATTCAAATAAAGCATCATAAAGTTTCAAATAATATATTTGAAACATAGTCAAAAAAAAAGAACTTACCTCATGTTTACCAAGGGCAGCTGATAAACAAGGATAGGTAAATACCCTGAAAGAGAGTACAGTATTTTCATAATAAAAGTAGTTTAATTGTTTCATTCTTCATGTCTACTCAGAAAAATAGAATTCCCATTTCCATTCACCCTTTTCCTCGGGGAAAAGTTAAAACATACACTACTGATAAAAATACCCATGATTTCCCCTCCATAAGATATATGGAGTACTTATTATGTAATTGGTTTTATCCCAGCTTTTGCCATACAAAAGACACACCCTCAAAACATTGATGAGATAAAATTTAATGAGATGCACTAATTAAGTTTCTTTAACAGCTAGTGCTACATTTGGATTGCTGATGTTGGCAAACATGAATAACAACTTCAAAGACTGATCTTGTGACTCTTATTTTTTTCAACTTATGAAAGGTCATGTTTATTTAGGGTGTATATTCTGTAATTAGAAATCTGTATTTGGTTAATGCTATGCATACCTTCTTTTGTCTCCAAGCATGCCATTAACTTGGTTAAGGAACTTCCTGCAGTCCTGTTTAATGAGAAAAGTAGTATAAACCCTTTGACAATTTTCCTATTTTGAAAGAATCAGTATTTAAATATGACTTACTGTTTCAAACTCAGAATCTTTAATTTGTTTAAATGCACTGCTGACAAAATCCATTGGAAACCACTGGATTGCCAGCTCTCTTCTTTGTTTTTCTGATGTCATTCTGCATAATGCTTCAGTAATGGCAACTTGAAGATCATAGTCTATAATACATATGGCAGGGGCATTACCATAATTTTTTTTGATAGTAATTAAATGTTACTGCCTGAAAATGAACCATATATACACATTCACAAACAATACATATAATTTGTTGTATACATCTGAAGTACTCAATGTAGTGTTCATAGGTATGAATATATTTATGGACACTTTTCTTAGCGCCCACAACAATCTCTGCCACTGTATTTGAATTTCTAAAATGTTCTTTTACTTCTAACAAAATGGGAAGCTAGTCTGTAGGCCAGTACCACCTGCATTTTCAAGACTCCTTCAGTATCTACATAAGCCTCAGAGATATTCTTACAAAATAAAAATGGTGGCTGGCTATTCTTCAGTTCCTTATTTGAAAGAATTCTTACCTCCTAGGAAAAAGAAAATCTTATGAAATGGTCCACCACCTGCTCTTAAAAATCCAAATACAATCACTAGCTTAAAACACAATCTCTTTCAACCCTCTGATTTAACTTGAAGTTAGGTGCTGCACTTAAATACTATCTACTGTAGTCAAAATAAAGCAACTAAAAAACAGCATTGACATGTCAGGGAAAAACAAATAAGTAAACCAACGAATTGATAATATCAATAGCACTTAGACTTATATACCGTTTCACAGTGCTTTATACAGCCCTAAGCAATTTAGAGTCAGCATATTGCCCCCAACAATCTGGATCCTCATTTCACCGACCTCAGAAGGATGGAAGGCCAAGTCAACCATGAGCCATCAGAATAGAACTGCCGAACTGCTGGCAGCCAGCACTCAGCAGAAGTAGCTTGCAGTACTGCATTTTAACCACTGTGCCACCACAGCTCATGCTGATGTATTAATGATTGGATAAAATATAATGAACGAATTAATGTCTATATCAGAGATGGCTAACCTTTTTGGCACCAACTGCCGAAACTGGAGCGCGTGCGTGCATGTGCGTGTGCCAGAACCCAGAAGAGAGCAGCTGGCCGGTGCACATGCGCGCGGCAGCTAGCTGCTCTTCTGGGTTCCATCACACGCATGCACGCTGGACAGTTGCTCTCTTCCGGGTTTGAAGACCAGCTGGCCGGTGCGCATGTGCTCGCTGGAACCCAGAAGAGCAGCTGGTGACGGCATATGTGCCCATATCTGCATGCCACCTCTGGCATGCGTGCCATAGGTTCTCCATCACGGGTCTATACTATCTGTATCATTGGTCCTATTAAAAGATTGTTTTCATGTATGGCATGGAAGCTAGAGAAAACTTCTAAAATACATATGCTTAGAATTAAATAGCTCTGGATAACATTAATACATTTGTTGAAATCATAATCTGTGCTTACCCCCAGCATCCAAAATTCTTTTCCCCATATCATTCCTGTCAAACAAATACTGTGATTTAGTTTGACTGGCTTTTTAAACATTACATGTATTGTAAAATTATGTCTGTTTATCCAATTTATAGGCCACCCATTGACTCTGGACAACATAAAACTGAAAGTTAAAAAAACCCCAAAGGACAAAAAAACAGACCAGAGGCAGTATGAATAAAACATATAAATCCCCAAAAACTCCATCCAATAGGGACTCAACCATTACCCTGCCCAAAGCCTGGAAGAGCTTTAATAACTTCTTGAATGTCATCAGATTGGACGCCAACCAATTCTCAGACAGTTTATTATTTTCAATCTAAAGTTCCAGATGATGCCCAGAACTAAGTACAATCTAGGCACGAAGCATTGTTATGTTTTTAAGAATTATTTTTTAAAAATCAGCATGTATCCAAACATATTTGCACGTATTGTTTTTGTGAATAATGATTTGTTCTTAGCTTTTGATTCTATAAAAAAAAGTACAAATAAGAAATGTTTGATATAATAAAAACTATTGATATGATTTAATAAACATTATTTTCAATAGTTTATATATTTTATTTATTATTGGGTATACATCCTACATCTCCCTTCTTTTATATTTGCTTCTTCTCATGGACCGATCTCTCCTTTTCAGAGCGTTTAAGGTTAGGAGGATTGAAGTTATAGATAGAGACTGTATGTATTTATTAATCAACTTTTCTCTTAACCAGGACAATTTAGCTATGGTATGATTTTGTTCCAAAGGGGACATATCATTAAAGGTATTTATAAATTCTATTTCTTCGGGAAAGGAATTCCTATTTATTATTGGATTGTGTCAAATTAAACTATAGGGATTACAGAAATATTCTCTAGTTATTCAAGCTCTCTTGCCTGAAGGAGACATTTAAATTGATAAACTGCCTGTGTCTTATTCACAGAGTCAAAAGTTACTGGCGTTCTTGCTGACACAATATTATAATACAAATATTCCATCTTTAAAGTATTCCATCAGATAAAGTATTATCTGAAACAAGTGAGATGAGAATTTAAATGCAATCCCCAAATGCAATCCCCAAATGCAATCTTTGGTCCATCTATGAGAAGGTTTTGAAAAGTACAATGGAATAGCCATAAACCAATTTAAACTGTGTATAAGTTGTTGCTTATTAAAAACACTGCATATTATTCATAATTAACAGAACTGTATTATATTTACATCAACTCTTTAAGATTAACTTTAAAAATGTTTAACTTTGAACAAATTCTGCTTAAACATAAATGAAATAATCTCAACATGAAATAACATTATCCTAACAAGATTTTTGGTTTCCACAAGGGACCCCAGGGTGATATTAAAGTTAAATGTGAACGTTATATTAAAGTTAATTACATGACTTGTAGCATTTCCTTTGTAGAAATTGTTTTCTTTCTAATATCTCGAGGCATAGCAATAAGCATGGTGTTCAGTTTTCTTACTGCCTAAAGATAATAAAAAGAGGTAATTGAATATTAAGCATTTTAAAAACTCAGTATAATGCCCCAAACATCTTTAAATACCCACGTAATGTAATGAAGGAGGTTTTAGTTTTAATTATTTTGCCTCTCAAGAGTTAGTTGTGCTACATGCAGTTATACTTCCTAGCAAAATAAAGGCAATCAATAGAGCAAAGGGAAGATCTTCCCTTAAAAGGGAAGTAAATTTTGACACAATCACAGTGACCATCTAAACAAATGTATTGAAAAATAAACCATGGAATCAAAATCAATGGTTGCCAGAATAAATGCTGAGCAGGAGGTAGTATTAAGCCTAAGGTTTAGTTCTGTGGGGTTTCTCAAAGTTCAACATTCTTACCTCTATTTAATATTTACAAGAGATGTTATCTCAGTGGTAAAGTATGCAACTGTATGAGGTCAGGTATAATCAATATACAGATAGTCATCGACTTACAACAGTTCATTTAGTGATCATTCAAAGTTCCAATGGCATTGAAAAAAGGGACTTATGACCGTTTTTCATGGTTACGACCCTGCAGTATCCCCATGATCACATGATCAAAATTCAGATGCTTGGCAACTGACTCATCGTCATGACAGTTGCAGTGTCCCGGAGTCATGTAATCACCGACCTTCCAACAAGCAAAGTCAATGGGGAAGCCAGATTCACTGAACCACCAGGTTACCAACTTATTGCACAATTGCAGTGATTCACTTAACAATTGTGACAAGAAAAGTCATAAAATGGGGCAAAACTCACTTAACAAATGTCTCACTTAATAACATAAATTTTGGGTTCAGTTGTGGTCATATGTCAAGGACTAGCTGAATTGATAACTCCCAGTTGTACATCTTGGCCCCTGGCTTTACCAAGTGCTACCATTAAGATTCTGTCAAAGCATCAAGAGATTGTTGAGGTCTGGATGGGAAGAAACAGCCTGAGGCTCAACCCTAGTAGGACTGAGCAATGGGGAGTGCAGGGTTTTCCAGGGACTCTTCTGCTTTAGTTTTTGGATAGCACTGCATTTCTCTACATGTAACCTATGTTTTGAAAGTCCTCCCAGCCCTGCAGCTCTGCTCAAATAAGCGGTGGTAGTAGTGGTTAGAAGGGTCTTCACAGAATCAACTTCTGTACCAGTTGGGCTCATTCCTGGACAGGGAGAGCCTTCTCACTATCACTGTCACTGTCAGGCTCTGTTGCTTGGATTACTGTAGCACACTTTATTTAGAACTGCCCTCAAGACCACTCAGAAACTACAGCTAGTATATAATGCAACAGCACAAATAGTTAAGTGTTGTGGCCCGCCAGCTGCCAGCGGAACTGGCGGCAGACTCGAATGATGAGGAGGTTGGGGAGGAACTTGGGCCAGCCCTGGAGTATGGGGAAGGCTCTGATGGATGCTCTGCGTCGGAAGCAGAGATAGAGTCAGAGCTGTCCCAGCTGCCTTCAGAGTTGGAGACAAGTGGGGAAAACAGCTGGGGCCTGTTCCAGATGCACGTATGCGTAGAGCTGTCAGGAGAGAACAACTGAGGAACAGGGGCTGACTTGGGAAGAGATGCACATGTGGATGCTGAATGGCCCCTCCCTGACTGGGGAATAAATAGAAGCAAAAGGGGAGTGGTGGTTGCAGATGTTCGTATTTCTTTCGGAAGATTTGCTTATTGTGGTTCGTGCCTCAGAGACTTTTTGCCAGGAATTATTTTACAGCTTTGCGACTGGAAGCTCTCAGTCTGGCAATTATCCAAGGACTGATAAGATCTGTTATTGCATTAAACCTTTGGAAGGATTATTGCCTGGACTTTTCTGTGTGTGAATGCTATGAATTCACAATAGCTAAATAAAGAGGGTTTTTTCGGGACAAGGAGTCCGTTTCTTGGTTCTGCTAAGGCTGGGTCAGACCAGTTACGGGCACATCTGGTACAGATGTATGACACCTCTATTTGCAAGTTGTGCCGGATGCCAGTTGGTTTCCAGGTGTAATTCAAGGTGCTGAGAGTATCTATAAGAGTCCTTTGTGGTTCAGAACCTAGATATTTGGAGGCCATCTTTCTTTCATTGTTTCTGTACACTGTTCTAAGATCACAAAAGGTCAGCGTGCTCTGAGTCTCAATCAACAAAACAATGGCATCTTATAGGCACACCATCTCTGTTGTCATGCCTGCCATCAGGGACAGCATTTCTCTTGAGGTCCATATGACCCCAACTCTGCTATCATTCAGAAGACCTTAAAAGTCGGCTCTTCCAATAAATACTTGCCAAGAGCAATATTGTGAACTTAGTACAGTATAATGCAATTTCTGTCTTCGCTGTATATGAAGGTTTTGTTTTTTTGTTTCTTTCTTGTTATTATGATCCGCTTCTTAAACTCTTTGTTTATTACCTTAAACTGCTCTGCAATCGGGCAGCCGTAGATATTGGACAAATAAATACATGTATGTAATGCAATAGCATTATTTTGTTTCTTTTTATCCTACTTTTATTTTTTATATATAACTCAAGGTGTTGAGCGATACATGATAAAATACAAATAGTTTCAAATGATGCACAGGTAGTACTCGACTTACAACCACAATTGAGCCTGGAATTTTGGTTGTAAGTCATGGGGTTGTAAGTTCAGTCATCATGAGACCAGACTTGATTTTATGACCATTTTTATGATAGTTGTTAAGCAAATAACTGTGGTCATTAAGCAACTCATAGGATCATAAGTCTAAATCCAATTTAACCAAGGGGAATTTTTTTGCTGGAAAACAGGAAAAAAAGTTGCAAATTGTGTTCATGTGATTGTGGGACATTGTAACTGGTTGTAAATACAAGCTTGCTTGCCAAGTGCCTGAAACACAATAATGGGACTGCTGAGATGATGCAACAATCAAAACTTCAAGGATGTGTCATAAGTAACTTTTTTCAAGTCTATCATAACTTCAAACAATTAAGTGACTGGTTGTAAGCCGAGAACTACCTATAATACACAGGGTGTTCCGAAAGATGAGTATCTAGACACTAGAAATTATAGAAAGGAACAAATAGGTAAATAAAGTACATTATTGAATATATCTGTATGGTTAATTTAAATCAACACAGTAGGCTTTTTAAAAAAATAAATAGATTTCCTCTTTTTCTAATATTTAAAAGTGAAGTTTGAGTATTTGTGTCTAATATCCTATTCAAATATCTGAAACACAGAAAATTAATATTGCTATTAAAACATAGCAAGATAGCCGATTCAAAGTTTAAAAGCCAAGAAAGATAATATTAAAAAGAATTCTTACCTCCTGCTGAATATAAATACTAATTCTCTTATCAGCAACAAGAGCACTTATTCGCAATATGAAATTTTCAAGTGTTTGAATTTTACCTAGATGAAAATATAATGCATTATTTACAGAATCATATAATTTAACTTCACAATCACTGATGTAAATGAATATCCAAGACAAAATAGCTGCATTTAAATTACAAAATATTATGTCAAAAACTGTATCATACTTGATTTTCAGACATACCTTCACTGCTGGTATCATGTACTATCTACAATTAAAATAAACAACATATTAAAATTGCTCTGCACACAGGAAATAACTATTATTACTGTAGTCCTGAATAGCACATACTATATTGTTTCAGAATTTTTTTTTCAAAAAACAATAAATAATGCATTCCTTTCAGGGTGGATTTGATTTAAATTGAGTTGATTTAAATCACAATTTAAATCATGATTTAAATCACTAGTAAAAAGGCTTGATTTAAATCAACTTGATTTAAATCATAATTTTTAAAGAGCAACTGTCATCTCTGCTACTCCTTTGACCCACTGTTGACTCACCGATAGTCCCAGTGTTGCAGAATATACAGCCTCATGCTACATAACTAAGCTCCATTTCATGCTGAATAAACTAAATTATTTATGTATCTTAAATAGAAAACTATCTTACGATAGATTTTTACCTCAAAAGTTTTTTATTAAAAAAAATCCAATTTAAATCAAAAAAATCTGATTTTTTTGATTTTTTTTAAAAAAAATTATTGATTTTTATCCACCCTGATTCCTTTGGATATACATAAATGGGACCTATTCTTTTTGAGATTAATGTAAAATGAATTCCTAAGTGTTATAATCATCTGCATATGGTAAGAATTGAAATTAAATACATATTTTAAGTTGTTGTTTAGTAAATCTCAGCCCATCTTATTCTAGGCATATCAATGAGTAAAAATAAAGCCAAATATGAAAAAAAAGCTTTTCAAAGCAATGTGAATATTAAATTTATCACATAATTTGTGAAAAAATATATATGGGATATATTTACCATTAGGACATCAAAGAAATCTTCAAAGAGAGTAGTAAATGCCTCATTACATTCACGGTCTTTTTTTCCCAAAATCTCTTTGGCTTTTTCAAACCAATTTACCATGTACAAAAAGAAAATAAAAAAATGTACAATTACTATGGTTATTTGTTCATTTATGCAAAAAACAATTGCAGAATAACATTAATAATAATGTTAAACCACTAAGCAGTCAAACATACGTAGATATCAAACCTATGCAGACCTGCTATCCAATTATTCTTAAAATTATTTCCCAATATTATATACTTATCTTTTGAATAAGACCATATTCAATCATGGCTGGAAACCCAACTTCACCTAATATGTTAATATTTCTGCCATGGTTCTGAAGAGTATTCAACAAAGTCGAAACATTGTTAACGTCTTCACTGTCAAGTTGCTGAAATTTTTTAAAAAGTGCACATAAAAAAAATCAAGAATTGTTTCAGTTTTTATGCAAAAATCCATAGTCAATACAATAACAAAATGTGGCGTCTGAACTATTTTACTATTTTAACAAATTTAATAAATAAATGCACATCAGTAGAAAGTTTGCTGTCAAATCTGCAAAAAGTTGTTCTGTTTCAACTTGTACCATGCAGAGATTGTGTCAGTTGTTTATTTGGGAATTTATTAAAAATACAATTTAACAAGGAATGCCTAAAGTGCCATATAACTAACTGTATGTGAGTTTTGAAATTTTGTGATTATCAAAATTGCATTATAGACTGCCATGATAAAACTATCTAGTTTTCATTCAGAGCACCATCTTTAGAAAAAGCAAAAAAAGGAAGGAAAAAGGCACAGGGAATGTGAAGAGACAGGGAATACAGGTAGTCCTTGACTAACAATAGTTTGTTTACTGACCATTCAAAGTTGCAATGGCTCTGAAAAGTTACTTATGACCATTTTTCACACTTATGACCGTTGCAACACCCCCATGGTCATGTATTATTATTATTATTATTATTAATTAAATTTTTATACCGCCCTTCTCCCGAAGGACTCAGGGCGGTGAACAGCCAAGATTAAAATACATACAGTATGAAAATTAAATGTGATCAACATTCAGACACTTGGCAACTGGCTCATTTAACATGTCTTCACTTAGCAATAGAAATTTTGGGCCCAATCGTGGTCGTAAATCGAGGACTACCTGTATTTATTTTCCCTTCATCCTGTTTTGCTGGAATGCTAGAAATTGTTCAGATCAGGCAAAAAATGTGTCTGCTTTAATGACTTGGGAAGACATGTATTATATGCACTTCTGCATATTGCAAAACATACTTTTAAAAGAATTTGCACAGCCCTATTTTTTTTTTTAATTTGATTTATATGCTGCCCTTCTCCGGAGACTCAGGGCGGCTTACAATGTGCTCAGCAATAGCCTTCATCCTTTTGTATATTTATACAAAGTCAGTTTATTGCCCCCACAACTGGGTCCTCAATTTACCTACCTTAGAAAGGATGGAAGGCTGAGTCAACCTTGAGCCTTGGCGAGATTCGAACCTGCAGTAATTGCAGGCAGCTGGTCTTAATAACCAGCTTAATAACAGGGTGCCTTAGACCACTGTACTACCAAGGCTCTATTTTCCTGGTGGTGTCAGAACAGAACAGAATAACAGAGTTGGAAGGGACCTTGGAGGTCTTCTAGTCCAACCCCATGCTCAGGCAGGAAACCCTATACCATTTCAGACAAATGGTTGTCCAATCTCTTCTTAAAAACATCCAATGTTAGAGAATTCACAACTTCTGGAGGCACGTCGTCCCACTGATTACTTGTTCTAACTGTCAAGAAATTTCTCCTTAGTTCTAGGTTGCTTCTCTCCTTGACTAGCTTCTATCCATTGCTTCTTGTCGTGCCCTCAGGTGTTTTGGAGAATAGCTTGATCCTCTGCTCTTTGTGGCAACCCATTAGATATTGGAACACTGCTATTATGTCACCCCTAGTCCTTCTTTTCATTAAACTAGTCTCTGATTTAATTGTTAACTAAGTCTGAAACTGTTTAGCTTTTTGAAAATAGGCAATATTGATGGGGTAAGCCACTTAACTAACTGAAGGCCACTAACCACTTATGGATCTTGAAGAAGCAGAATATTGACATTTATGACATCTGTGGCTGGAGAAAACCCTGTGGATATCACAAATAGCCAAGAAAACAAATAGATAATCAAACAAATCAGCCCAGAGTTCTCATTTAAAACTCAAATGACCGGGCTCCAATGACCATACTTCGGACACATTGTGCAAAGACCTTGAAAGGTCTATAATGCTTTGAAAGTTGGAATGAGAAGATGTTCAGCAACAAAATGGAAGGATTCAGTTACAACTGAAATGGGCAGACCTCAAGGACCAGGTTAGAGACCGATTGTCCTAGAGAAATCTATTACGATTGCTATGAGTCAATGCCAACTTAATAGCACAGAATCAGTCAAACAATCAATTACTGCCACCTAGTAATCATAAAAATGTACTGCATGCTTTTCATCTCCAAGGTTTGATGTTGCATTTATAATACTATGAATAATTTTAAAAGTTAAAACTATTTAAAACTATATTTTATATAAATCCCCATCTTAATTTATACAGTTCAAAAAAGAATTTCATCACCTGGCATATAAGCTTGTCTAATTTGTTGAGAAACTGCTTGCTGCATTTATGGGACATATCATCAGAAAAATCTGTTTGTTGAAACTGTTGCAGTGCGTGAAAATCATGTTTTCTTATAGCTTCATCTACACATTTTTCAAGCTGTCAAAAATAACATATATACATATTATTTTAGTACCCTGTTTAACAATAATTTCTATCACCATATATCTTATTTATGACTGAGGCACAGATGGAAAAATAAGAGATTTAAAGTGGTTAACTATAAAATATATATTGCAAGTTTGTTGACAAAACTGCATATTAAACAATTGACAACCAACGATACCAAATCATTTTTTTCCCCTTCCGTTCAATTGGGTCCATTTCTCAAAAACTGCCTGGATTAGTCCCTGCAGTTTTCTTGCCAAGGGTTTCCTGAGGTGGTTTGCCATTGCCTCCTTCTTAGGGCTGAGTGAAAGTGACTAGCCCAAGATCACCCAGCTGGCTTCGTGCCTCAGGTGAAACTAGAATTCATGGTTTATAGCCTTATACCTTAACCACTTTTCTCAATCTAGACCAGGGTTCCCCAATTCCCGGTCCGTGGACCGGCATAGGGTCATGGGATGCCAGAAACCGGGCCGTGCAAACAAAGCCCCATCCGTGGGATGCAGGCAGCATACAAAACTACCCTCCCCCCTCCTGTCTGTGGAAAAACCTCTCTCCATGGAACCGGTCTCTGATGCCCAAAAGGGGCCACTGTCTATCTAGGCCATAGTAATATACTAACTCTGCCGGAAGGCCTCTCCAGTTGGAGATCAGATTCAAGACATTCCACATGATTAGAGAAGCAGAATAGATCTCATTTGGTGTACAGTCCACTTAGACAGGCCTATTGAATAACTCATAAGCTTTGGTGCCATGGGGTTTTAATATTCAAAATGGGGGCAGTCTAAATTTCAATTGCCTTCATGACAACTATGTGTCTTTCTCAATATAACATTGAGTCAAGGCATTTCATGGAACCTGTTTTGGATTTGGTAAAGATGGAAAGGCCTAAGAAATGGAAATTAATCTGTATCTTTCTTTTTCTTTCTACGTCTGATGACAGAGGCATGAGACCATTTCAAGTATTCTATCTTCTGCAACTAATGGGAGAAACCAAGTAAGTTCTAGATGGTAAAACAAACAAATTTAATATAATTCAGTCTTGGGCCTGAATTGACCATTGAAAACAATTACTGTGTGTGAGAGGAATGAACACATCCATATAGTTTTCTTGATACATATGATACAATACAAAAATGGTTTGCTGTTTCTTTTCTCCAGGATTTCATTTTAATTCCAGACTATCCTGGAATTAGTTATGCCCTGGGGCATAATTATAACTTTAAAATATCAATTACTATATTATATTACATAATAATGCTACAATCTAAAGATACCTGTCCTTCACGCCTAACAGGCATGTTGGCTTTTCATATACTTAAGCAATATAATCTAAAATGAAAGAAAAAAAATTAATGAATGTTATATATTTACATTTTTATCTGCACAATGTTTAATGTAGAAAAGTAAGGCAATTTATTAATATATTTTTTCATTTAAAATGTTCTTTATTAAAACAAATAAGATTTTTTTGTATAAAATCTCTAAACATCTGTTTTATGTCACTATGTATTCATTAGTATTTAGTAACCATTTTTCCTCCTAAAGAAAATTTGTATACCATAGGTGGTTACTGAGAGCTGACACTCAACTGATGGCACATAATCAATAGCAAACCATTCCTTCATACTATAGTAAGGTAAAGATAGAAACTATCCAGCTATTTTGAGAAACCATCTTTATTAAGCTTTTTCCTCATCCATTAGCCATCCAGCACCTATTTCATCATGTTACATACATACCATAGACCAGAAGCAGGGCTATAGTTATTCAATTAAGAGGCCAAAATTGATGTTTTTTTTTCCTGAAACACTTTCATCCCGTTTACCTTAATAGAAACAAAAACTTCTAGCTACATTTCAATTATTTTATTTTTCAATAAGTGTCATAAATAAAAAAATAAAAATAAAACTGTTATAGCTGGCCATCAAAAGAATTATATGAAAATATAATAAAGTTATATAGCATTAGGATTTTATGCCTGAATTATTTCTGTGTTTCCTATTCCATCCTATTTTATTTTACATAATTTTCTTAAACACAAAAACATTAACAAAAAACTTCACTTTTATTATTGTACTTCTAAGCCATATTTGCAACTCAGAACAAACTTTAAAACAAAACAAAATCAGAACTTAAATGATATTGATACAATACAGATATTTTTTACCACTGACCTGGAATGACTATTGAATTCACTATTTGTTAGATAAAGCACATTTTTATTAACAAATTTATCACAGAATGTAAATTTTGAAATAATTGTGAATAATTGCTCCTCAATTTTGCCTTCTGAACTTACACAATACTCTGTACAAGGTAGGAATATAAAGAAACAAAAAAACTGTATCCACTCCTTTATGATAGTCATGTTTGTTTATTTACTGCATTTGTTAATCACCACTATTTTAAAATTTTGGATAACATACAACTGAGTAAACAAAACATATACAAATACTAAACGAATAAATATGCAATAAAAATATAAATGTGTTACAGAATCTCCAAGCACCAATCAGTTTAAGTCTGTTGAAAAACAGAAGTTTCTATTGTTTTTGTGAATACCAGAATGGAAAGTGCCCTCCAAGTCTCTGGAAGCAACATATAATATTTAAGACCACCATGGAGAAAGTCAGTTTATACTTCAATGTGTCATGCAAATTTAGAAAGCTGGGTTTACCATGATTACGTTAAACAACAAGAAGTATACTACCATCTATATTGAGTAAATAGACTGCAAAAGGTCTTAAATAGAATTCTCAAATTACACTAAACCAATAATTATTGAATCAGCCTATGTGGATATTGCTTTACAATAGGGGTGGGGAACGATGGCCTGTGGACTTCAATTCCCAGAATTCCTGAGTCAGCATTCTGGCAGTTAAGAGTCCACAAGTCATAAAATGTCATTGTTCCCCACCTCTGCTTTACACCTACATAAACGTATCATATTCTGAATGAGTGTGATATGCAAACCTAGATCTTAGAATTCAGAATCCTGAAAGTATCTTTGGGGTTCCAGTTCTCCTAGATATGTAATAGCGTATAAGTAATTTTGGTCATCTGTAGGAGGATTCAAGCAATGTATTTTTCTTCATGCTGAATATGATTCTGAGAGCCATACACATCATACACTCACAACTAAACATATGACTGTACTCAGGATCTCCTTCTGAAGGAAGGAAACTTGATCATGGTATCTGATTCTGTATCTTTTGCTTGATAAAGTTGGTTTGGAATTTATCAATGCTTAATTTTGGCTACAGTTCGTAGCCGCCAAACTTAAATCCTGAATCTACCACAAACCATGTAGCTTTAAAAAAACAAAACAAAGTATTTAAGCATAAGAAATCTTCTTTTGGCCCTATAGAAATATAGTAACATTCTCAGCAACCTTTATTTCTGTAACTTATTTATACTTCAAGCTCTGCATTTATTGGAATAGCTTTCATTAAACAATCAAAGCAACAGTAACTATCAAAACAATTCTTTATTACACAATAAAAGAAAACCATTACATTGATCATACAGTAAATGTCATCAAGTAGTTGAAAAAAATGTAAACCTTAAGGCTATGTGAATGAACTAAAATGGCTTAAACTCAGTCAATTATTTTTTTAAAAATGGATACTGCATTTTAAAACATTTGCATTATTTTGCAACCTGCAGTTCTATTCTCTCAAAGTTCTCTACTGAGTTTATCACCTCCAAGCACAGCTTGTTTTCCCTGAAAAGTTGAGTCTGAAAGGCCAAGATGGTAAGTGCAACTACACGATCAAAATCCCATTTTGTAGGTGCATTGGCATCACATATGCACGAAGCGACAGAGTTCAATTGTGTCCACCATCTTCTCCCCCCCCCCCATGCAGCTACTTGGAATGACACAATGGCAGAATATTTACCTACTTCATTTTGTCACAATATGACAACAGAAAGCGCTTCCAAAGAGCCTCAAAAGTTTTAGAAACCATTATTGTACAATGACACTGATTAATTTCTGACAAGTTTGGAGAGTGAAAGTACTGTTTTGTAGAACAGTCAAATCTTTTTAAAAACCTTTTATTGTATGTTTAGAATATGAAAGGTTTGATGGCTTTCTCTCCTGAAATAAGGTCAAGGTTGGATTAATAAAACAAATTATGAAACTAAGCTATGCAAACCAGTGAATAGGTTAACACAACATACTGAACAAGGAATATCGAGACCATGTTAGCCTTGTGTGAAGTAAGCCTGCAACAGAAAATATCTGCTATGTCTGTCTCAGGATATTCAAAACAAAATGTGTGCTTGTGAGGGAAGTAATTAATTTAAGGAGATGGAAGTTGAAAGACAGGAGAAACTAGTAACAGAATATGCTTGTTTTTAGATTAATACCTAAACATAAGGCCATTATTTTTGGAATTTTAGACCATTCATGCTAGGATAGGCAAGCTAATGTCCCCCAGAAATTTTGGACTTCAACATTAACCATCGGTGTAATGGTCAGATGACCAGATCTAAATACAATGTTATTTACTGAGATTATACCAATAGTGAATTATTGGGCTCTGCCTACTTTAAAGATAATTCAATCTAACACAGTAAGAGCAATGTTGGCTTGTGCAAGGTTTGATGCCTGCAGAGCTCTAGTGTATTATGTCCTTCAATAAAAAATCACTAAGGAAGACAGGTCTTATTGCCAGAGCACAGACTGTGTAGTGCTATACAAAGTAAAGGTTTCCTTACTGAGCTGCAATCCCGGGGCCATAAGCACTGTTTTGCACAACAGTGCAAAAGTCAACCCCACCGCTTCTTCCAAGGATACTCTATTCCCAGTCAGCCTCCAGCAATGTGATTCCAAATCCCAGGTCCCATTGACCGTGCTTAGCTTTTTCAGATCATCTGCTGTTGATGGTCAAACCCTATAAATCCTTAAGAAGAAAACAGCATTAGAAAAAAAATATATTAGGCAGAATATTCCGTATATGCCACAGTAAAGACGTGGAAACAGGTTAGGAACGCATTGGTAACAAGCAGGGTAGGGTCAAAAAAGTCAAAATGGCAGCCACGATCACGCCTCACACCTTAAAGGTGCGATCGCATAGTGGAAGCCGCATCATCTTGACTTTTCTGACCGAGCCCTGCGGATTCCTCCGCCCTCTCGTCGTTTCTTATTCGTGAGGCGGTTTTGGAAGGCCAACCGGGCCCTATTACTGACGAAACCCCGCTAAGGAATGGTATTACCACCGCGGAAGGGCATGCGAGGCAGCGCGTGAAAAGTATGGAACCCTCACTCAGATTCCCTCACGAGCTCCGCCGCCATCCGCGGGGAGCCCAGCAAGAACGTCGAGAAGCGCCACTTCTTCCTTCAGCCAATCAAACGCGGAGCGAAGCGTTTTTGCACCAATCGCTGCTTTCGTAGCTAACCGGAGCCAATCACGAGGGAGATAGTCGCCTGAAAGTGGGGTTGGGGGGAAAGCGGCTCTTTGTACCTTTGCTTCCACTTGCTTTCCCCGCCTTCGGAGCCGGTTCGGCCAATCAGATGGCGACTAGTCTGGGGGGAGGAGGGGGCGAGTAACGGTTTTGAATTGTCAACGGTGTCCGCTGCTGTTTCTTTGTCTCTTTGAGGGGAGACTGAGCCTTTTTTTTTTCACCTCACACAATTCGAGCTAAAAGTCCTCACGACTATAATGTAATGGCACAAATTCTCACAAATCTACAGTCTCTCACTCGTATCTCTTGAGCCGCGCGCTCAAGAGATTCCGAGGATTTCCTGTGGACTCGATTATTGTGATTACTTCGCTCCGTTCCCGCCTTTGACTTTCCCTATTAAGGATGGGATGGGATGGGATGGGATGGGATGGAATAGAATAGAATAGAATAGAATAGAATAGAATAGAATAGAATAGAATAGAATAGAATAGAACAGCTGAGTTGGAAGGGACCTTGGAGGTTGAACAGATTAACAGTTGGAAGGGACCTTATAGGTCATCTAGTCCAACCCCCCCACCCCCAAGCAGGAGACCCTACACCATTTCTGACAAATGGCAGTCCAATCTTTTCTTGAAAGCCTCCAGTGATGAAGCTCCCACAACTTCCCAAGGCAACATCTATTCCATTGGTTGATTGTTCCCATTGTCAGAAAGTTCCTCCTCATTTCTAGGTTGAATCTCTCCTTGGTCAGTTTCTATCCATTATTCCTTGTCTAGCCTTCAGGTGCTTTGGAAAACAGCTTGACCCACTCCTCCCTGTGGCAGCCCCTCAAGTATTGGAAGATGGCTATCCTGTCTCCCCTGGTCCTTCTCTTCACTAGACTAGCCATGCCCAGTTCATGTAATCTAGTCCAGCCCCCTGCTCAAGCGGGAGACCCTATACCATCTCAGACAAGTGACTGTCCAGTCTCTTCTTAAAAACCTCCAGTGATGGAGTGCCCACGATTTCTGGAGGCAAGCTGTTCCACTGATTAATTGTCCTCACTGAATTGAGTTTCTCCTCAATTCCAGATTGCTTCTCTCTTTGATTAGTTAACAACCATTATTTCTTGTCCTGTCCTCTGGTGCTTTGGAGAATAATTTGACCCCCTCTTCTTTATGGCAGCCCCTCAAATGTGGGAATACTGCTATCACATCACCCCTAATTCTTCTTTTCTTTAGACTGGCCAAATCCAAATCCTGCAGCTGTTCTTCATGTTTTAGTCTCCAAGACTTTGATCATCTTAGTTGCTCTTCTCTGAACTTTTTCCAAAGTCCCAACATCTTTTTTGTAGCATGGTGACCAAAGTTGGTTGCAGTATTCCAGGTGTGGTCTTACATAGGGTTTTGTAAAACAATACTAATACTTCACGTGATCTTGATTCTATGCCTCTGTTTATAGAAACCAGGGTTGTATTAGCTTTTTTGGCTGCTGCTGCACACCCCTGGCTCATATTCAAGTGATCATCCACTAGGACTTCAGGGTTCCTCTCACAGTTACTGTTTTTGAGCCAGGTCTCACGTAATCTGTACTTATACCTTTGATTTTTCCTGCCTAAATGTAAAGCTTTGCTTTTCTCCACATTAAAATTCATTTTGTTGGATAGAGCCCATTGTTCAAGTTTGTCAAGATCTTCTTGGATCCTGAGTTTGTCTTCTGGGGTGTTGGCTATTCCTACCAGTTTTGTTATTCCTGCCAATAATTCATCAAAGCGCTTCCCCATCATGCAACTTGCCTGATAACTTTTAGATATAGTTGACTACGATTCTCCTCACTTAAGAACAGCAAGGTTTTTCGCTAGCTGGCTTCAAAGGATGGGAGTGGCAATCCTGGGTTTAAACCGAGAACCTGAATCAATATTTAAGACAACAGGAAGCAACAAGATACACTAGTTGCTCTCCCCAACAACTGAATATAGATTTTAATCCACAAAATTCACACAACGGACTAAGCAATTCATTCAATTTGCATGGTTTTGGTTTTCAAGTGTTGTGTGAACTCGGTCCTGGTTTGTAAATGATGGTTGACACACCAACCTCTTTTATTCACATTGGGGGGTTTTAAGTAGCTGTATTGTTTTTACATTAAACTTTAGGCTTTATTTTAGTATTTTAATAGAATAGAAATCTTTATTAGCCAAGTGTGATTGGACACACAAGGAATTTATCTCCGGGGTATAAACTCTCTATACATACAAACAAGTGATAAATCATGATCATAATCATAAAATACAATCATCATAAATCATAAGATATGACACTTAGCGGTAGTCATAGGATACTAAATAAGCAATCAATATAAATCATAATAGGATACTAAATAAAAGCAACATAAATCATAGATGCAAACAAGAAAGTTTTAGTCATAAGAAGCTAAGGAAACAGAAACAATGAGAAGACTAATAGTAATACAGCCCTACTAGGTAGTTTTACAAACCAGAGCATAAGACAGTGTTGTGAGAATTAGTTGTTCCCACAACTAATTATTAAATATCAAAGTTGATAATAGTATTTTGGCATCCATGCTTCCTTTTGAAGCTTAGGAAACATCAAAGCCATTTCCTTTGATGTACAAAAACTATACTTTAAAAGGGACTCTCAATCAAACAATAAAACAGTATTCTGAAGTCCTTGAATGTTGAAAACGTTAAGAAAAAAATGAATCTGGGTTGCAAAGGAGGAGATGCAATATATTTTAAGGGTGCCTGTCTTTTCTCATGTTTAACAAAATAAAGCTTTTATTGTACATCAGTGGCTTTTATTATATGATTTGTTGCTTTCTGAAACATCACATATATCAAATGTATGTAATCATTTATTTCTATACTCATCCTAATAAGCACTTTTTGTTTTGCTGGAAATACTCTTAGTTTGTATTGTCAGTAGGGAGAGTTTGATACATGTTAAACTAAATTTTAGTTAAAGAGAGCCCCTCTTTGAGGATAACAGGCAGTGTAGAAACATGAAATATAAATAAATAAGTATAATTTCATTAATGCCATTTTTATTTATTCAATAAACCATACTAGTTTTAATTGTGTAAGCTGTCCAAAGTCCTGAATGTGAGATGGGTGGCCATATACATTGAATATTTTTTAAAAAACATTGTGTTTTACACCTCTTGTGAACCCAGCCACTATTTCATAGGATTTGTCATGGGGTTTCTAAAATACTTTGAGTGCAACATATAACTCATTACAGGCATATTTAGTCTTTAAGAGATGCTGGTTTGGATAGATGATACAGCACTCATTTCTTACCTCCTATTTTTATGATTTATTTATTTTTTATCTATTTTTTTTTTACACTGCCTAACTCTGAGTGGTTCACAGATTAAAAACACACAGAAAAATACAAGAAAAAAAGCAGCCCCATGCTATCCAGAAGTGATTTCAACCAACCTTGTCAAAGGCTTGAGTCAAGAGCCAGCAGAATGGGGTCCACCAAAATCTCAGAGAGAACTTCATTCAGTGCTGCAAGAGAAGGTACATTTCCAAGGTCCCAATAGATGACATTTTTTTAATCAAAGGAACTCAGAGCATGTTAACCTTGCTATATCAAATTGGGCAAGCAGATACTATGGGAGAAAGTTTTTATTCACATATTTATAAATGTGTACACATATATAATACACTTAGGTTTGCTCAATCTAGAAAACCTATCCTGAAGAATTTTTTTTTTCGTTTCTACTGTAAATGTGGCATTGTAATGATGCAAAATGCAAGCATTGTATGCAAAATTTGAGACAATTATTTTCACCCAGTTAGGATCAGAGAAAAGATTTTCAGGGAGGCCAGAGCTTTTGACCAGAGTGGGAAGTTATATATTTATCATGGATGATGGATGGATGGATGGATGGATGGATGGATGGATGGATGGATAGATAGATAGATAGATAGATAGATAGATAGATAGATAGATAGATCGCCAGATAAATATCTTTCAGTGGAAGGCAATGGCAAACCACTTGTATTGCTGTCCAGAAAAATATATACAGATCTGCCCACATACTTTAGTCATCTGAGTTAAATTACAGCAAGATTTTAATAATTGGTGGGGGTGAGAAGTATTCTGTAAATCAGTGAAATCCTTATTGCCATTATTTTTGAAAAATGTGTTTCGTTTACTACATTATCTGAAAAAACAAAGGAAATATGGTTTAGCAATAACAAACATTAAAAAGTGAAATATAAATAAATACTGTTTGTATTCTTGGATAATTAGCATGCACAGCTTGTCAATAAGTCATTCGAAAAATTTCAAGATGTGAAAAACTAATAATATTAACATTTTTTTAAAAAGGCAATAAAAAGGGATCATACAATTATAGCTTCAGGAAACAATTTAAGACATCCACCACCAGATGTCTCTACTACCTAAGAAAATTAATTTACAGTACAACAAAGTTAATTTTTATTCGATCTTGGATTAGAAATAGATATTTATACAGAATGGCAAAAAAAAAGTCATTCCTCTTTATTTTGTGTTGTCAGTCTAAGTCTAAAATTCAGGTACCACACTTCAGGAAGGATGCTGACAAACTGGAATAATCCAGAGGAAGCAATCAACGGTGAAAAAGACCTGGAAGGAAAAAAAATATGAGGAATGCTTGGAGGTATATTCAGGGAAGCAGAACTAGAAAAGACTTGGGAAAAAATGTGAAAATGAAAATGCCCCAAACAATTATAGAATAACTTTACTTTACTTTACTTTATTCAAATTTCTATACCGCCCTTCTCCTTTCGGACTCAGGGCGGTGAACAGCCAAGATAAAAACATCTATACAAAACATCACAGTTAAAAAATAAAGTTAAAATAATTTATAAATTTGGCCCATAATTTAAAACTTGTCAATTAAAATCAATATTAAAATTTTAAAACTAACCCTAAAATCAAGACAGACCGGCTAACTGGAAAAAATGAGTTTTTAGGGCCCGACGAAAAATCCGAAGGTCGGAGATCACTCGTATCTCTGGGGGTAGATTGTTCCATAGGGTAGGTGCCACCACAGAGAAGGCTCTCCTCCTGGGGGTCGTCAGCCGGCATTGTCTGGCCGACGGCACCCTGAGGAGGCCCTCTCTGTGGGAGCGAACCGGCCGGTGGGAGGCTATTGGTGGCAGAAGGCGGTCCCGTAAGTACCCTGGCCCTAAGCCATGGAGCGCTTTAAAGGTGATCACCAACACCTTGAAGCGTACCCGGAAGTCCACTGGAAGCCAATGCAGCTCGCGCAGGAGAGGAGTCACATGGGAGCGCCCCGTCGCTCCCATAATCCCCCGCGCAGCCGCATTCTGCACCAGTTGGAGCCTCCGGGTGTACCCCAAGGGGAGCCCCATGTAGAGAGCGTTACAATAGTCCAGACGAGAAGTAACGAGTGCTTGAGTGACCGTGCGTAGGGAGTCCCGGTCCAGAAAGGGGCGCAACTGGCGTATCAGGCAAACCTGACAAAAAGCCCCCCTGGCCACGGCTGTCATATGCCCTTCTAAAGACAGCCGCGCATCCAGGAGGACACCCAAGTTGCGGGCCCTCTAACAACAAATGGAAATATATATAAAAAAACAATTGATATGAACTAACTTAGAAAATATGGTACTTTCAGGCTTGCAAGTTTCTTTTAATTTTACCTTGCAATAAAGTAGAATTAGTTGTTCTGGTCATGTTTGTTGTACGTGGGAAGGCTGACATTAATCTTGCAAGCTGAAGGTACAAATCACATGACATCTCCTTTACAATCTGAGATGCTGGGTGAGGGGGGTGGGGGGGGCGTCCCTTCTGAGCTCTTGCTGTGCATATTATGCAGCTGTGAGCTATGTGGTCTCTTCTCTGACTATTCCCTAATCTTTCCCCAGAACATTCCTAGAGACATAGCATTGCATGGAATCCTGCATTAGGTGAGGGTTTGGACTAGACAATTTGCAAACTCCCTTCAAACGTACGATTCTTTCAGGGGTGGGTTTCGCCCCGGTTCGGGCGAACCAGTGGCGGTGGCGGGAGGCTCCGCCCACCAGCCCAGTTGTCATCAAAAACACAAAGTGAGCACATGCCTACACGCTACCAATAGCGAACCGGTAGCGCCGGGATTTGAATCCCATCTCTGGATCCTTTCAGAAAAATACATTGATCTGATTTTTTTTATAAAGGCAAAACAAGATATGTCTACTCAGAAATAAATCCCACTGCGTCCAATAAAGCAGAAGTCCCTAAATCCAGGGTCATGGACTGGAATCGGGCCATGCAAGTGAGTGAAGCTTCATCTGCACATGCGGAAGATCTAGGTAGCAAACGAAACCACACACACCCCAGTTGGAACCAGTTTCTGGTGGAACCAGTTTCTGGTGTTCAAAAAGGTCGGGGACCACTGCAATAAAGCATACTCCCATGAAAACATCTATACAAATAAAAACATTGCCAATTCAGATCCAGAATAACAGATTGGAAGGGACCTTGGAGGTCTTCTAGTCCAATCTCCTGCTCAAGCAGGAGACCCTGTATCATTTTTGACAAATGGCTGTCCAGTCTCTTCTTAAAAGCTTCCGGTGATGGGGCACCTACTACTTCCAAAGCAAGCCATTCCTTGACTGGTTGACTGTTCTTACCGTCAGGAAATTTCTCCTTAGTTTTAGGTTGCTTCTCTCCTTAGTTAGTTTCCATCCATTACTTTTTATCTTGCCTTCTGGTACTTTGGGAAATAGGTTGACCCCCCCCCCCCCCTGCCTCTTTTTCAGCAAATATTATTTTTAAAGATCCAGCAAATATTATTTAAGAAGGCTTTAGTAAATTAAAATGTGAGTTCTTAAGCCCTCTAGTCACCAGTTTTAGACAGGCATCCATCCTCCTTGTCTTGCAGTTTAGAGGCATTGTTACAAGGAGAAACCTATCATGGCCAAGGTAGTTTTTTTTTTCTTTCAGATTCTTTATTTGCAATTCCATAATGGACAATTCTTTAAATAATAATTTAATCAAGTATTCATTCGTCATATTCATAGTATTAGATAATAAATAAATTTACATTAAATCTAGAATTATGTGGCAGACCCAACCTTTATTTATTTTTAAACCAAATCATGCCCTAACTTGTTTCTGAATTAAGCTATTTCTTACATTAATCTCAGGCACTCAGGTTCTGCCTAAAATCAAAAGCAATTTCTTTTGCGAGGACCTGTCTCATTTCTTTAGCAAGATTTTTTTTAATCAATAAAGAGGTTGGTTATTACAAGATCCTGCAACTGGTTTATTTCCCATCTACAACCAATCTGTTCCAAAGTACAGGTAGTCCTCACTTAATGACCACAATTGGAACAGAATACTATATTGGGGTTGCTATTATGTGACCACAACACGTCATTTTATTATCGACTTCTCCATTGATTCTACTGATTGAAAGCAAGTTATGAAGTGTGTAAATCGTGACCACGAGACGTTAAAATGATCCTAATTGCAAGGACTAGTCATAAGTATTTTTTCAGCACAGTCGTAACTTCAAATGTTTGCTAAACAGGGCAGTCATTAAGTGAGTCCTATGTGTATTTGCAGTGAAGTATTCCTCATTTTCTTATTTTTTATTGTCTTTCTGTGAACTGGCAGATCTCTTACCTAACAACAAAAATAGTGCATAAGGAATAAGGAGCTGCAGATGACAATTTACAAAATCATATTCTGAATCCTTGTTACTCTGTTGTAGCTCAGAAAATACAGCGAACCATAAGTGAATCCAACATGCTGGGGTGCACAATACACTAAACTCCTTGAAGAGAGTGAAACTTAAATGAATCTAGCTTAGCATGTGGTGCCAGGGCAGCTTCTAAATCTTTAACTGACTTGTGTTAAATTTATGATTTACAGACAAGGGAGACTAGTATAGGCCTATTTTAAGCTCCATCCAGAGGTGGGCTGCTGGGGGTTTTCAGGGGTTCGGGAGAACCTCTAGCTAAGATTCTGTGCAGTTCGGAGAATCCCCAAATCCCACTCCTGGTTGGCCCCGCCCTGCCCACACCGCCCCACCCTTCCCAGGAGTCCCCATGTGGCCTGTTTTGGATGTAGGTAAGTACAGGGCGCTCAGGGAGGCTCAGGGAGGGTAAAAAATGGGCCTACCGGAAGTTTGGGAAGCCCGGAAACAGCCTCCAGAGGGCCTCAAGAGCCTGGGGAGGCCATTTTCGCCCTCTCGGAGGTTCAAGGAAAGCCTCCTGAGCCCAGGGAGGGAAAAACACCCCCCCACACACACCGTGGTGCAGGAGGCCGACTAGGCCACGCCCACCATGGCCACGCCCACCCAGCAACCGGGCAGAAAACCCCTTGGTAAAATTTTTGAAGCCCACCCCTGGCTCCGTCCCATAATTGGGTCGACCAAGTTGCCTTGACAAAAAACACTTTAACTGACTTGTTAAGACTATTATATTGTGAACATAGGCATTAAATAAATAGTATTTCTTTGTTCTTTTCTATCATACAGGTAGTCCTCGACTAATGACCACAATTGAGGCCAACATTTCTGTTGTTAAGTGAGACATTTGTTACGGGAGTTTTGCCCTATTTTACAACCTTTCTTGTCACGGTTGTTAATTGAATTACTGCAGTTGATAAATTGATCACTTAACCTGATTGTTCAGTGAATCTGACTTCCCCATTGATTTTGTGTGTCAGAAGGTCGCAAAAGTGTGATCACATGACCTTGGGATACAGCAGCGGTCATAAATATGAACCAGTTACCAAGCATCAGAATTTTGATCGCATGATTTTGAAAATGCTGCCAAGGTCATAACTGTGAAAAATGGTCATAAGGTCACTTTTTCAGTGCTGTTGTAACTTTGAATAGTCACTAAACGAACTGTTGCAAGTCAACCTGTACTAAGATTTTGACTGATTCAATTCTAAGACATCTTTCTCATCACATTCATTCTTATCTAGAGGGAGAGAATGTGCATTCATCTTCATTAAATATTGTAATACAAAGTGAAGTTGGCAACAATGAATATCCAAATGATGTGCATAATTTATCTTTAATACTGATTACCTCAGTACAATTATAGTTGGGCAACCCAGTGTCAGTTATTATTGGAACTAGCTAAAATATGCATCACAATTAAAAGTTATCTTTGATGGGATGCCTTAAGCATATGCATCCACATCTGTCTTAGTTTAAAATAAATGTGTGATCGGGGATAAAAGAGATGGGGGAAGTATCTGCGCATTTGCAGTTAATAATTAGTACAATTTTCAAAATAATTATTCCTCAGCTTCAAATATTCCCAGGGAACTCTTTTTTTTTTCCGGTTTCTTATATTCTTTATTAGGTGCCTTAGAATCATAATCAAGTTTGGAAATATGGAGGACTAATGAAGATCCCTCATTCATATGGCAGTTCCAGTTGTTACCCTCCTAAAACTTGTGGTCTCTTCTAGATTTTGTTGCCGCCCCACGTGGCACAACTCCAAAAGATGGGCCTTCTGATGCAGCGACTTGATTCCAGGTAGGGAGCAATCATCTCCAAGGCCTCAAAGCGATGAAGGAACTCCTTCAGATTTGGGAACTGATCCAAGCATTTTGGGTCCAGCATTTGATGTATATCTAACGCATCATAAGCAATGAAATCTATGTAGGTGAGCTTTCTGTCTTCAAACCACTGCCTGTCTCCCAGAAATTGAGAGAGCAGCTTGAGTTTCCCAGGTAGTAATTCCAAATAGTCAGGCTTTAGTTTTTCAAAATCTGGACTGTAACACCATTTTGCAAAGCTCATACGGAAATCCATGAGGTGGTTCTCAAACATGTCCATCCTGATCGTTTCTTCTTCACTCTCACCACACATCTTGTGCTTGCGTGCAATGTATCGCAGGATGGCTTTGCTTTGGGAAATCTTTTGGTCACCATCAATAAGATAGGGGAGATTTGGGAAGTCCAAGTCCAGCTTCTCCTTCACACTTGTCCATTCAGTCATATCCATATTAGGAACAATGCCAAACATTCCTACTTGCTTTGGAGTATTTTTTGATTTCAGTTCATTCTTTTGCACTTTTCTACCAAGAACATACCGTTTCTCTTTATAGGTGGTCTTGGTATACTCTAAGAGCAGTCTAATGGAATGACCCAACCCTCGGATATTCCAGTAGCCCAGCGTGGCTTCCATCTTCTTGGCTGGGGCTGTCTCTCGTGGCAAGCAGAAACGACCCCGCTCCCTTTCGCAACCACAGAGATCCCCAGAGCTGCTTTTATACTCAAGCGGAGGAATGTCCCAATTATTCCCAGGGAACTCTTGAAGCACACAAAAGGGATCTTGGCAAACGTGCGTAACATCCGATCAGTGCTTTCCGTACTCCTGCTCTAAGAGATGTTTTTCTCCTGCAGTTCACTTTGGAGTAGGAATAGGGTAGATCAAATCAGGTGTTTCCAGATTAATATGCATGACATCACATATTACTGTAGGGACAATAATAGTTGATAGCCCTGTATGCTCCCAAGGAAAAGTATTTTTATGACCTGTGATGGATAATATATTTGGAAAGCCCTCCTGCAGTAGCAGCATCTTGCTGAGATCCCAAAACTCATTCTAAATACATACAATATATAGATATTCGCAGTGACATTCAAGTGTTTTTCAGTACTGCAGGATTCAATCTGAGTCGGTCACTGGGACCAGAGGTTTAGCCTTTGAAGCTTTAGGACTTATGCTACAGCCCATCCTCAGGGAACTTCTCTCACTCCAGAATGCCATTCCAGAATGATCATCCTAAACATGCTTTTTTTCAAGAGGCAACTGGACTTTCTGGTTTCTCTTTGAAGATGTTTCACTTATCATCCAAGAAGCTTCTTCAGCTTTGACTGGATGGTGAGGAACGGAAGGATTTATGCTCCTTGCAGAAAGCTGGTCATTTGCATTCTTTTAGTGAGTTGTTGAGGCCACCTGGAAGTTTATCTCTATCATCAGGGTCACCTGAGTGGTGCAAATGGGTGTGGAGCCTTCTTGGAACTGTTGAAAGGACTGTGTTGTAGACTGGAGATGATGATGATGTCGTATCTCTCCTCCTCTGTTGGGAGAGGGCTGTTCAATTTTGACATAGATGGCTTCTCTGACCCCTCATTCAAACTAGAGGTCCTCTCTGTTCAAAATGTAGACTTTGCTGTCTTCAAAAGAGTGGCCTTTTGTCTTCTAAATGCAGAGGGACTGCTGAAACTAGTCCTGATGGGTTTGTTCTCTTATGTTGTGCCATGCGTTTATGAAGTGGTTGTTTTGTTTCCCCAATGTACAGATCTGCGCATAGCTCACTGCATTGTACTGCATATATCGCATTACTCAGTTTGTGTCTGGGTGTTTTATCCTTGAGGGTGGACAAGCTTCTGCCTTAGTGTATTCTTGGGTTTGAAGTGTGCATGTATGTTGTCTTGGCTGAAGATCCTTCTGAGCTTTTCCAATATTCCTGAAACATGGAATGACAACATTGCTTTGTTTATTGTTCACTTCATTGTCTGTTATGGAAGAGCTCCTGTAGGGACTTTTTTTTTTAAGATTTGATGAAAGCCCACTTGGAAAAGCCACACATTCTGAGGGTTTCCTTGATGTGTTTTAGTTCTTTTTCTTTCCCATCTTTGCTGGTAGGCAGGCCTTTAGCTCGGTGATATAAGGTTCTGATGACTCCCATTTTGTGATCCAACGGGTGGTGGGAATCAAAATGTAAATATTGATCTCTGTGTGTGGATGTTTCTGTACATTTCAGTGTTAAGGCTTCTGTCTTCCTTAATGTGTACTGTACAGTCCAGGAAGGCGAGACTATTTTCCTTAAAATGATATTTTGGAGAGAGAAAATTTCCCTGAGGATGGGCTTCAGTACGAGTCCGAAAATTTAAAAGATTAAACCTCTGCTCCTGGCGACCGACTCAGATTGAATCCTGTAATATTATCCTGGATATGTATATTTCCCTTCATTTGTTTTCAGTACTGTATAACACCTTGAGTGTGAAACAGACCCAAATGAACTCCAGTGGACTTAAATCAGATTTGCTGATATTGTATCCTACAGCTTCTCTTTTAAGTTTTGTCATTGCTGCTTATTTCAAAATCCTTGAAGCCATATATCAGTATGGCTTGGTAGCTTGAAATGCTCTTTGCTGATTTTTGGAGTGATTCAGATTGGGTGTTTATTTATTCAACAGTTCAGAATTCCATCTGTTGCTTCTAGGTAGACATGCAGGCATTACAGAATAACTTCTCGTTAAATTCATCCAGGTCATGTTTGTTCCAAAAGTGCTTTTCCAAAAGGCAATTGGACTTTCTAGGTTTTTTTCCTTGAAAATGTTTTGCTTCTGGTCCAAGAAGCTTCAGTTAGAACTGAAGAAGATTCTTGGATGAGAAGTGAAATGTTTTCAAGGGAAAAAACCAAGGAAGTCCAGTTGCCTTTTGGAAAAGCATCTTTGTGACTACTGACTAATATTTATTTCCATATACTGAATAATATACTATATATCAACAAAAATAAAAAATTCATACTTGCTTGAAATTTATTTATTTATATATTTATTTCATGTATTTATATGCCGCCCTTCTCTAGAAGGACTCAGGGTGGCGAACACAAGTTAAAAACATGTACAACAAAATCCCATTTTAAACCAAATTAACTAATAAATAATAAATAATAAAACCCAGAATCAGAGTCAGCCTATTTGCTTGAACAGCCAAGTCTTCAGGTCCCGATGGAATGAGCGGAGATCAGGAGCCGTCCGGAGCTCAGTAGACAACTCATTCCAGAGGGTGGGAGCACCCACAGAGAACGCCCTACCCCTGGGCACCACCAGACGACATTGAAATGGGTGAATAGTAAAGCATCCATGTCCCTCAACCTTTTTTTCTTGGTTATCAACTTGTAACCTATTCATCTATTCATTTTCTGCACACAATGAGTTAATTACTCATTCTGCAGTCTTTTGCAGAGATAGCAAAAAGAAAATATATTATTTCTGCTGGTTATATGCACTGCAGAGCAATTTGAGAAATACTCATCTGACAAGATCTCACTTTTAGGGTAATTTATCACTGTCAGAGGGTAGATATCACCAGGATAGGAGCTGTCACTGCAGTAATTGTTCCACAGTACAATTGTTATTTTATATGAATATATCTGTCAATCATTAGCTAGATTGACTCTCCTCACCCTCCAGACAAATGGAGAATTGTCCATCATTAAGGATCTTAAACACTCTGAACAAATGAACCAGTTAGCATAACATTTATCTAGTTTACAATGTTTATAAACTCCTTACGAGTGCCTCATGGCACTCTTAAGTGGCATACAAGTATTTTGTTTATTTATTAAATGTATATGTCACGCATCTCGCTGTTGGAGTGACTCTTGAGCAATTCAAGTATACGTGGAAGTTGGAATATTTTTGCAATTAGGCAATGTAGCCTACAGTCATATTTCTTGGATATTTCACAACCATTATCCAGGCCTAATTCTAGTCAGCTTCCCAGGCCAGGCAATGCCGTTCAGATGTTGCCAGTTAACATGGAAAAGTGTGAGAATAAAACCTACCCAGACACACCAATAATACACATAATTTAAAAAGATGTGTTCTCTTTGTTAAGCTTACTCTGACATGATTTTTTTTTGTATCTCTTTTCTTTAACAGACTAATTACTTTAATTGATCAAGGGACACCACTAGTGGTGGGATTCAAATTTTTTTATTACTGGTTCTGTGGGCATGGTTTGGTGGGCATGGCGTGGCTTAGTGGACGTGGCAGGGGAAGGATACTGTAAAATCTCCATTCCCATCCCACTCCAGGGGAAGGTTACTGCAAAATCCCCATTTCCTTCCGATCAGCTGGAACTCCGTAAACAGAGAATAGATGGGGTGGGGCCAGTCAGAGGTGGTATTTACCGGTTCTCCGAACTACTCAAAATTTCTGCTACCGGTTCTCCAGAACTGGTCAGAACCTGCTGAATATCACCTCTGGACACCACAGATGCAATACATCCTGATCTTAGTAAAGCGTTTGAAAAGCCTCCTGCTACATTCTTGTGGATAAATTGTATATATTTATGAGCTAGAGGTTATTCCAGTCCAATCAATTTGCTCAACTGCACATCAAAATGGTTGTAAATGGTTCCACTACAATCTGAACAGAACTACTGAATGGGGTCCCCAGTTCATCACCCATGACCTACTATGCTTTTTGATATATTAATAAATAAAGGATAAATTCTAAAGGATAGAATGGAAGGGGGGTTATCTAATGTGCAGCTGACAACATGCTAAGCAGGCGTGTCTAACCTTTTTGCCTTGCCTGAGCCACAATGAGTGAAGAAGAATGATCTTGGACGCATATAAAATATATAGTTAATGTATGTATATGTATGTGCATATGTATAAATAATGTTAAAATTATGATCTTGTGGAGCTGCATCACTAGCTGTTCAGGGCCTCACGCGGTTCACAGTCTGCGGGTTAGACACACCTGTGCTAGAGGAATTGCTTAGAACACAAAGCAGTCTTGAACATTGAGTCAAGTGCCATTCAATCGTGAATCATAGTGAATATTTACTTAGGCCTGTAATAGTCTGGGAAGCTGGTAGGGCATCACAAGTAGCAGAGCAGTGGGATTTCATCTTGTCAATTCATAGTTTAAAAACTGAATTGGGGCATGTAACCAGTGGTGAAATCCAAATTTTTTTATTACCGGTTCTATGGGCTTGGCTTGGTGGGCGTGGCAGGGGAAGGATACTGCAAAATCTCCATTCCCACCCTACTCCAGGGAAAAGATACTGCAAAATCCCCATTCCCTCCCCACTCTGGGGGAAGGATATTGTAAAATCTCCATTCCCACCCCACCCTGGGGCCAGCCAGAGGTGGTATTTGCCAGTTCTCCGAACTACTCAAAATTTTCGTTACCGGTTCTCCAGAACCTGCTGGATTTCACCCCTGCATGTAACCAAAAAAAAAAAAGTTAATAAATAACCCAGATCTGAAAGGATGGGATCAGGAAGTTTAAAGCTTAGCACTTCCTTGAGGGTAAGCCAAGAATCAATGGGAGAGAGGGGAGTGTGTGTGTGTGTGTGTGTGTGTATGTGTGTGTGTGTGTGTGTGTGTGTGTGTGTGTGTGAGAGAGAGAGAGAGAGAGAGAGAGAGAGAGAGAGAGAGAGAGAGAGAGGAAGT